TTCTTATCATGAATGAAAATGGAATTTATATATCCAATAAAAATGTGAATGGTAATCAGTATGTGATCCAACTCAGTAAAGGGAGATGAGTGCAAAATTTTTCCAGATAAAGAAAATTTGTAGTGACCATGGTACACCTTCGTTTGTCTCACACCATTTCCTTTGCACCTTTCTTCCACTAGAATATTTCTTGGATTCACTTTCCTGTCTGTGACTCTCATGGGGACAATGACCCATCATGTCAATGAATTTCTCTTTCTTGAAAAACATAAACTCTAATAAACAATTAATGAATCTCTCAGGGTCTTTATTTTTTTCCATGGTCGGTCACTTATAACCTGCAAGTCCTTTTTCGTCTTTACAGTTTTCATTTCTTTATAACTCTGCTTGTTGTCTTGCTTCTCCTCAGCGCTGGAATCGATAAAACCATGCCAGAATTAGGGTTTCTGGTAGCACATGCTTTTCAGTTTTAGCTCTAAGGTTGGTCTTTCTAGCTGCAGTGAATTACTCAAATTCAACTTGATTTTTATCAGTCATCCAAAACTTAACAAGGAAAGCCGAGAGTTCTCCTCCTTCTAGATTTATTCTCTTTTGTGATCGCAATTTTATGATGTTGGTTTGTTTGTTTTCCACTTTTTCGTCGTCTGATCTTCAACCTCAAAGGTAGGGTTTTCTTCGATAATGATCTGGTCACCGATTATTGTAGCATGCCTAATTAGGCTGATTGGCACCAATTATTGTGAAAAAAGTTTGTCAAGTGAAACTGGTTTGCATAAATTTATCACTTTCTGAACTTATAATAAATTTGCATGGACATGTGTATTTATATATGTATTGGAAAATATCTTTAAATCTTGTTTCTGCTGCCATATGGTACCTTCCTTTCCCTTCTTCCCCGTTGCAAGTACGTTCTCATGTTTCTTGTTTAAAAGTTATTTTTTTATATTTGAAAATCACTTTGTGGAAGTTTGGGCCAACAACTGTCATATTAATTATAGGTATTTGCTTCGCAATATAATTCAGATCAGGATGAAATATAGATAATTCCAACTTCTAATAAAAACCCCGTTTTCTTATCCCCTTTGCATTCACTGATTTATTATTTGACAGTCAAAACATGCATAAATTTATGTAATTCAAATATGTTATTGCCCATATTCTCTCATAACCTTTGATTTGAAGTTGTACTGATACCCCTCTCCCACTTTCATCACATTTACATAATTTTTATATTAATAATATCTTCCTTTCATGAAGTTCAAGCTAATTGACTCTCAACTTTAACATAGAAGAAAATTAGCCTTCAATGTTGGAATTTTAGATCTAATTATACTTTCTTCATCTTGTCAGGAAGAAGGAAAATAATATATGCAGTGTTCTACTACAGCTTAGTCACATTGGGAAGGAAAGAGAGTGAAGGAGCTTCCCCCAGCCCATTCATGGATACAACGAAGATTGGGTTGCAAAATTAACCACTAACTCATTCACACAATGGTATTTAGTTAGGGTGATGAGGCTCCTTTTGCTACGATATGATTGTGTGAATGAAGTGGTGGATATATACATATATATTGTGACCCTCTTTCTCTGTGCTTGGACTGAAGGGAGCTCCTTCTTTCTGTTGCCTCCATTTGTATCCATCTCTCAAATGGCTTTATTCATGTCTAAGCTTTAATCTATATATGCTTATAACAAAAAAGGTGAGGCCAGTACACTGTAGCTGATGTTACATATCGTCTTCTAGCTCTTTGTAAGTATTCACTCTTTACCACAACTGCACAAGATTCAGCAAACATCTGAACAGTTGAATATCAGTTTAGTGTCCACTTGGTAATATATATTTTCCACAAAATCATGATCTCTAATTACTCCATGAACAAATTTACAATACAGTACACATAAGGCAGTATATATATCTGATGATTGTAGTAATTTGTTTGCCTTAATCTTTAAAATGATCATATAAATTTATGTGATTACTTTGTACACATAAATGTATGGCACTTGGTACAAGTTTCTCTTCGATCTCTTTCTCCCAACAGTACTTTTCTGAGTTCTTTCTTTGGGGGTTGGGAAAGCAAAATTTAGGTTAAAGTGGGTTAACAGTTCATTTCTATCTGCACAACTCACAGGACTTGTTGCTTTGCAACTGGCTATTCTTTTCAATTTTAGGTTCCGTGACCTTACAGTTAAGTAACATATGGTGCTAAATCATTATTGTAGGTTTGAACTTTAGTTTGCGTACTGTTTTTTTCACTCACTATTTCTGTTTATCTAATCTTTTCTTTCCTAGAAATGTCTTATCATCACTTTATAAATGTCTTATCTAATCTGTTTATTCTATCATATAAATGTAGTACTAAACTTTTAATTAAATTCTCGTTATTCATTTATAAACTATATAAGATCATAAGTAATTTACATTCTCGTTGCATTTGCATGTTTTATTGAGTGCGAAGACAGCAGCATAGTACTATGGAGTGAGAACAAAAGCATTTAAGGTATGCATCTGTCATTTCTATGCACCAATTGCTCCATCTCTTTCATTTTCCAAGGTAGAGAGTATCATGTCACTAAACAAATGCTGATATATATACGCCACGTTTGGATGTTTCTGCTTTACCACAGCAAACTGCATTATTTAAATATTGATTTCACAGGTCACCACTTTCTCCTCTACACCTCGAGAAGTTGCACTGCACAATTTTCGTTAACACATTGAATTGGCATTAACTCTAAACAGTAATCTTTTGGCAGTGTGTCTTTTTGCGTAGGAGAGATAGTTGTTGTTATAAATTTCTCTGAGATTTATTTTGAATGTGGCGTGGAAATTAGTGATGAATAGTTCTGACATGGTGTCCAGAATCCAGATACATGAATACAGCATAAAGCTGAAACTTCTTGTGTTTCCTCAAGTTGACTGTGAACATTTGAACGACACCCATATATATTAAATTTCCAATAAATGATGCGTGTATTAATATGTGTGTATTCATTTTATCATTCTAATAAAGTTAATTCCAAGTTCCTACTTTTGAGTTTTTTTTTTTTTAAGTGATTTGATATATAAAAATTTGGATAATTTATTAAAAGATATTGTTGGTAGAAATTTTGAATAAATAATACAAATTTAAAATATTGTTTTCCGTTTTTTATTTATTAATATACATTATTACATCTAAGTTGGATACAACAAATTTATGTTTTTTTAATTAAATTAATAATTCATCAAATTAGGTTTATACCTATGTATATTCTAACACTAGATTGTTTCGTATGCATCCGTTTTTAGAACATGTTAGAGACGAATTTTTTTATAAATATTTTGAAAAGAAAAAAATATAAACACAAATTATTATTTAATAAGTTAAAATTAATATACAAATAAAAAAAATAGAGAAACAGAAACTTCATGACAAAATTTTAATATGCAGTACATATCTAAATTGATAACCTTAAATATATTATCCAAAACGAAAAAAAAATACAAGAGAAAAAAAATATACATTTTGCTGTTGTGTCTCGATTCTTTATATTGTGTTCATAAGCTTACTCTACTATACGAGATTAATATTCAGTCTATAATTTTTTTTTTCAATTAATTATAATATCAATAAGGAGGAAAATATTTAATTGCAAATACTTTATAATTTTCAAAATATCAAGATAAATTATAAAAGACAAATTCTATCATAAATAAAAAATAAACAAATATTTCAACTGAGAAATGCAGTTATATTTGTAATTAAGAGTGTAAAAAGAAAATAATAATTATTTTCTAAACAAATAATAGAACGTGGTTGAAACTAAAGATTTTAAGAAATAAAATACTTTGCAAAAAACTGTAATATTAAAATGATATTATATCGACAACTAAATTCTGTCGTAAAAATGATCTAATATAAACAAAAAAAATTGTTATGTCGATAAAATTATTAAAGATTTGGATAAGTGAATTGTTGAAAGAAAAATGTCACACGTGTTAGAAGATACATACAAATATTTAAACGGATCAATTAGAATGATATGTACCATGCAACAGATACATCAAAATGACAACATCAAAAAATTGTTTCATTTTATAGCTAAAAAACTGTATAATGGGACCCTCCTAAGCTCCCTCATTCTTTAAGAACCCTAGAATGAAGAAAAACAAAGATATGTAAAATCTCTCTTGTTAGCTGGTGACGATTATGTTTTGTACACAGTGATTCATAAGTAAATGTTATTGTTTGGCTGTGCTCAAAGACAAAATTATGGTAAATTAGCGTTTTAAAATAAATAATATTTCGAATATGAAAACTAATGTTAATGTTTCTATAAAATATATATTAATTATTATGTTATCTATATGATGGTTGGATCAAAATATAATTTAAATAATTCTAGTTTTTTAATGTAAATTATAAGTATTAATAATAATAATTTTAACTATCAATAACATTTTATAAGTAATATTAAAATGATGTTTTTGATATGATTTGAACATTTCTATCAAATGTTTATATAAAGCTTACATTTTAGTATTCAATTACGCAAATAGTTTGAAAAAACTATTCAACCATAATTTGTTTGTGTGATAAATTATTAACTTTTAAACTGATTCTTTTAAAACTCATCCCATTTCATTTACTTGATTATTGAATCAAACATTAGTTTTTTCAGAAAAACTCTGCAACTCTTAATGTGTGTTTGAATTACCATCCCCTATTAATGCTTACACAATTGGACCTACGTTAAAACCTCTGCTCACCTAGGATATATAGTATATACATCTTTTATCAGCCAAAGAGGACCACCAAACTAAATAATAAAAAAAAAGTCATTACGCTGCTAAAAAAATTGATTTCAGATCCAGGACTGAAGAAGAAAACTCTTAAGCATTTTTTGTTCCAACAGGTTAACCTTAATCCCAGAGAAAAGTAGTACTCTTATGGCATAATGGCCATATTGGGTGCAGCCCAATACAATAATTACATAAGCTGCTTAACTCTTGTTGATCAGAAGAGAGGATCAGTTGCAATGGTAAGACTTGGATCACTTAATCCTGACATGAAGTTATCACCAAACATTACAGCCCCAGCTGCCAATGCTCCTGCACCTGCCCCAATTGCAAATCCTGGAGGACCCCTTGGTCTAGGACCTGCCCCAGACGATGATGATGATGATGATGATGGCATGTTAAAATAACTAGGTGCCATGCCACCATTACTTGGGAAAAAAGTGGGAGCATAACCACCACTTGAGTGTGGTGGTGGAGGAGTTGTTCTGGGTGGTTGATAACTTGGTCCAGTGGCTGCAGGGTAGCTTGGCCCAACCATGTAAGGAGGATTAGTAGCATAGTCTGCAGGAAATGGCACTGGATGTGAGTAGGGGACATTAGTTTGGCCCTGTTTTTCTGACCCGTGAAAATGATGGAAGGAAGGTTGAGGCTTTTGCTGTGGATATGCTTGCCCAAATCCAGCCCCTGGGGTCAAGTGAGTATTATTGCCATAATCCAAGAGCACTGTGCCTCCCCCATCACCTGCATAACCAAAAAAGAAGCCTCAAATCACTCAAAGTTGCCAACTTTTCCATTCAAATATGGAACCCTTTTTACCATGCTGAGTCAAAAGCTCACCCACCTTACAGAAAAAACATAAAATAGATTGAAGATATATTTTAAGGTAATGCAAGTTTGATTCCTCATCTTACATCTGATTTTACACATTTGGAATATGTCTTATAAACGAATCTTCCAAATGTGACTTCTTGTTTCTTAAATGAGTTTCCAAACACTGATAATATATAACACAAAAAACTATTGTATGACTTGGATCTCGTTACCAAAATCTCTAAGAATGACACACAAGAAACTGTTTTATGGTTTAGATCACACACGTGATTATGCAACTAATATTCACTTAACATGTAATTAATTTGTTCATTTAAACATAAAACTGGTCCAAGATTATAGACACATGATGACATCAAATCATTCCATAATACCTTGTGGGTGGAAACTAGGCTCCTCCTTGTTCTCAGAAAGACGGATTGAAACATCAATGAAGCCATTTGGCTTGTTGGATTTCTTCTTTCTCAATTGGTAGCTTCCTACTTCCTCAGACCCGGGGACCTGCTTGGCCAGAAACTCTCTGAGAACAACTGTTGCGGAGCCATGAAGCTTCTCTGTAAGGAACAAAGGATCTCTGCTATAAACCTCCAAGTGGAGTGCAAGATCTGGGTCGGACCCATCAACCTGTATGGCAAACTTGGTCCTCCAAAGAGGGTTGACATTCCCAGAAGCATCAACTTTGGTGCAGTACTTGCTCTTAGGATCAACCCACCCAACTGCAAACCACTGCCGCTTCCAAAGTGAGGGTGAACCCCTCACCCCACGAGCTGATATCAAGCATACTTCAATCCATATTTTAGCCATGAAAAAAAGACAAAAGCTGGTGACTGTGCATGCAGGAAAAGAGATCAGGTGGAGGGGTTCTGGTGCACAGTGCCAAATTTTGAATGGCTACTTTAGGTGGTTGGTTTGATGTGGTGAAAAAATTCCTACAGCTATGATGAGGGGTGCCATCTTTTTTTCTTGCACGTAAGTGCATCACAGCCAGGCAGAATCTGGTTACATTTTTTTAATATGCAGTACAGTACATTGGGCTAAATGAAAGGCTAATTCAATGCTCAAGGAAAATCATGTAAGTATTACATATGAATAATGATTCTTTGACTCCCTATAAAAGGTTGTTTAATAGATCTTTGTTTAAAGGATTGTCTATTAATCATTATATTGTTTAAAAAAAAATCTTATTTATTTTGTTATGAAAATAAGTCACCTTACACATCAACTCTGTATAGTGTTGTGTTGATTCTCCTAATGAGCTTATTTGGTGAGTTAAAAGTTATTCAAATAATATATAGGTTTTGAAGAAATCATGCTTAAGGGATATGTAATAACATTAAATTGTTGTAAATTTTTTTTTAATAAATATGAAAATACATCCTATGTGAGTACAATTAATAGATTACTTCAATAAAATGTAATAATTGAAATTTAATAATAATCTTATAATTTATTTTTTTAGTATCAAAGTGTATATTAAATAAATAACTAGACAAGATCACTCCAAGTAGATGAAGGGTAACCAACCCAGCAATATTAATGACGGAATAGAATAAGTCTTAATTAATACTTAGTCATGTAGTTTTGAAAATAAATATCCGCATCAATTTTTTATGTTTAGTTCCATCACAAGATTAAGATGTTTTAGCTTTGTTGTGTCATGTAACTTCTTTTACATATTTTATGATATAATCCAAAACATTAAAAAGAAAGTATTTAAGATGAAACTTCAAAAAAATTATATATTCTACTAGATCATGAATTCAAAAAGTTTTCAATAAGAAAAAATATTTTTTTCAAAATTATGGCAGTGAAGGTTAAGTTGAATACGACAGAAACAAAGACAGTGTTCTTATAATAACCTCTTCACCGCACCCACTTTTTTTATAAAACATCTCCACTTCACAAAACGCTGTGTCTTGTCTATTATATATTATTATTTTATTGTATATGTTTTTTCATTTTTTTTATTTTTTCCTTCCAAAATTTGAAAATCAGAAATCAGATCCAAATTCGAATTCGAAGAAGAGTAGCATTTCAGAGCGCTCTTCCAACCCTAAGTCCCCCCCGCACTTCGTCAATTCTCGCCGGATTCAGGGTTTTCCCGCGCGGTCGGTGGCGGCGGAGGACTCCTTCGCTCGCTGACATGGAAGGCGGAGGGAGGCGGATCACGGTCAGTCCGAGGCCTTGCTGTGGCCGGCGCGTAGTGGCTAAGAAGAGGCCACGACTCGTTGACGGCTTTGTGAATAGCGTCAAGAAGCTTCAGCGCCGTGAAATCAGCTCGAATCGTTACCGCGCGTTCTCCATGACCGACGCGCAAGAGAGGTTTCGCAACATTCGCTTGCAGGTTTTGTTTTGATTTTGTCTATGAACAGTGAAAACTGAATTTATGTGCTCAATAAGAGTGATGAATTTGTTCAGAACATTAAGAGACTGATAGGAGAGACCTTCTTTTATCTTGGTGATATTTTGGTTGCGGAACAATTCTAGGGTTTTTCTTAGCAGAAACTGTGCTCTAAGCCTCTCAACTTGCTCTACTTTAATGATCAATTCTCTCAGTCGACTATCTTGTTTATTGTTTAACAGCGTATGGTAATTTTACATTTGATACATAAGTTAAGGACTAATGTGGACATGTCGGTTTTTGTTTCATATGTAGTTCAAGAAAGCATGTGTGCCAGATTAGAGGCACTAGAAACTGAGTGATTACTTAGGTTAGTGTAAATGTGTCTGAGGTCAAGAATGGTCATTACTGAGGGAGCAAGATGTATAGATGTATATTTAATAGAATTCTTTTTGTTTTATAATCCAATATTTGTTATTAACTCAATGAATGTTATTTTGTTAATGAGATATCCCCATATATTTGTGTTATCCACTACTTTAATTTGTTGGATGTATTTGATGGGGGAGCAAGAGGAGTATGTAGTAGAAAACTTTCTGAGAATAGATAACAGGATATATAGTATACCTAACCACTCTAATTTAAAATCATTACTGAGGAAGCCAGAGAAATATGTAGTAGAAATTTTGACTTCCAATGTTAATGCAAACTTCTTGTGTTATTTTGTTAGTGGAAACTCCTCATACATTTGTGTAATACACTTGCAATCACTCTTTTTTAAACAGTTGGATGATGAGGAAACTATCTGCCTCCTGTTTTCTCTCGGGAGATGTTTACTTTTTTTTTTTTTTTTACTATACCAATTTATCCCCCTTCTCGTGATTGTGTATTATATATTATAGGAAGAATATGATACACATGATCCAAAAGGTCCTTCGACTGACGTATTGCCATTTCTGAGAAAGAGGTCAAAGATAATTGAGATTGTAGCTGCGCAGGACATTGTTTTTGCGCTTGCACAATCTGGTGTTTGTGCAGCATTTAGCCGAGGTAGTTATTATATTATAACTGGTTCCTGGTATATATATATGTGTGTGTGTGTGTGTGTGTGTGTGTGTGTGTGTGTGTGTGAATATGCAGTTACATGATTAATGTTGCATGTTTCCATTGATTTCTGCTATGCAGAGACAAATGAAAGGATATGCTTCTTGAATGTCAGTCCCGACGAAGTCATCAGAAGTTTGTTTTATAATAAAAATAATGACTCGCTTATCACAGTTTCTGTCTATGCATCAGACAGTTATAGTTCTTTGAAATGCAGAAGCACTAGGATTGAGTAAGTATAACTCTATTACTTTGTAACCTACCCTTGTTTCCACGCTCAACAAAAGAAAGCCTTAGGAAAAATAAATTTGTCAAAAGTGAGAATTAAATTGCAGATAGCAACAGTTGCCTGTTCAATTGTAGGCTGTTGTATGCTAAAATATCTGTTTTTCACTTTCCAGATATATAAGGAGGGTCAAACCAGATGCTGGCTTTGCTCTTTTTGAATCTGAGTCATTGAAGTGGCCAGGTTTTGTTGAGTTTGATGATGTAAATGGGAAGGTACTCACATACTCTGCACAGGATAGGTAATATTTGGTCTCACGCATTTGTATGGTGATATAATTATATAGTGTATCAAAGCTTCTTGATTGTGATAGATAACTTTTTTATTATTCTTTTCATATACAGCATATACAAGGTGTTTGACCTGAAAAACTATACAATGTTGTACTCCATTTCCGACAAAAATGTACAAGAGATTAAGATCAGGTATTATTTCATTGTTTGAGTTTCCATTTGACATGTACAATACTCTAATGTGGATATGTGGTCTATGGATTCACATTTTCTTTTAAACTATATTGCATTATGTTTTAGTTCTTGGTAGTATTAAATATTCTTCCTTTTTGAATATTTGTGTAGCCTACAAGATATACACTATTTAACTCTTTGTTTTGTGATTTTCTTTTATCAGTCCAGGGATTATGTTGTTGATTTTTGCTAAATCAAGTAGCCATGTCCCACTTAAAATCCTCTCAATAGAAGATGGTACTGTTTTGAAATCATTCAATCATCTCCTTCATCGGAATAAGAAGGTGGATTTCATTGAACAATTCAATGAAAAACTTCTTGTTAAACAAGAAAACGAGAATCTCCAAATTCTTGATGTAAGTAATTTAGTATTTTACACATAAGATGAGTTGTATACATTTGTATCATTATATCTGACTATTTAATTACCTTTAGGTACGGACTTCTGAGCTAACAGAAGTTAGCAGAAGCGAATTTATGACACCATCTGCATTTATATTTCTATACGAGAATCAATTATTTCTGACATTTCGAAACCAAACTGTGGCTGTGTGGAACTTCCGTGGAGAACTTGTAACTTCTTTTGAAGATCACCTTTTGTGGCATCCTGACTGCAATACAAACAACATTTACATAACCAGTGACCAGGATCTCATAATATCATACTGCAAGGCTGATTCTGACGATTCACTTTCTGAAGTAAATGGTACTCTTTATTTTTAATGCCTAGTTCCCCTCACTATTTTTATCTCTATTAATTTGTATTTTCCTCTTTTTTTATGCACCTTTTTCTTTTTTGTGGTTGGAGGTACAGTGGGATGAATATTAAAGGTGGTCTTAAGTCGTTTAACTGAAAGCTGATTTAGCCAAGTGTTTTACATGTTGACCAAATAAATTACAATGTTAAAACAGGGTAGCAAATCATATAACTTTCCAATGTTTCGGTGATCAGTTTGTGTTGGTAACTGAGCACCATCTTTAAAGTTACTAACAAGTTATGCTTCTTCAACGCAGCAGGATCTATTAATGTCAGCAACATTTTAACTGGCAAGTGTCTTGCAAAGATAAGGGCAAGAAATGGTTTTCCCGAGGTGAAGGAATGCAGTTGCATTGATGATAATTGCTCATGTAGTGGCTGTAATTTAGGGAAAAGGAAGCATTCCTCCAGAATTAGGAGCACAGTTGCAGAAGCCTTGGAAGACATTACTGCTCTCTTTTACGATGAAGAGCGCAACGAGATTTATACAGGCAATAGGCATGGTCTGGTTCATGTCTGGTCGAACTAAAGTACTATAAATTTTATTATTGTTTTGTTTCTTATTAGCATTTATCCATGGTTGTTGTGATAGTCCTCACCTGATATGGTGTACCTTTGTGATAGTTGTAACCATTAAGTGTTAATTGTATCATTCTTTTTTTGGGGGGTTGTTTTGTCATCTGTCTTAGGCAAGTTTATTCTCTAGGTGGCAACAACCCTGTATCAAGTGATACTGTAAGTTGGTGGCTCACCACATGTTTAAGCTTGTAATCTATGTCAGCTCTATGTAGTGAAATATGTCAATAATGCAATTTTCTCCACTCATTTCATTCTTTGGTACTTTGTCTTGTGGGGGGCCTACTGTGGAGTGACTTGCTTGCTCTCGCATGGTTTGCTAGAGCATCAGTGTCAAATCTGTGGAGTAAAGAGCAAAAGCAACCTGTAGGGTTATAGCTGTTTTAAACACTGGCTTCTGTGTTGGTACTTCGGTTCAATTTCTTTGTTCCTTTGTCTTAACTTTTTCTATTGTTTTCTTTATCGCAGTCAGAGTTGCCAAGCCAAATTCAAAAGGACACTGTTCTTAAATTATTTTGCTTCCAGCAAGTGGGAAATCATTTTTTAAGTAATGAAAGTGTATTTTTTAGTTTTAAGTCAAGCATTTTATTTGTACAGTGCAGAATTGAAAAAGAAATTATACTTAGTTTATTCTACTTTTGTATTTTAAAAATTAAAACTTAAGTATGCATTTGCTCCGGAAGTGATTAAATGCCTTCGCCCTTGGTGAATTTTGATAAATTCACAACATTATCTTTAACACCCTCCGACATTGATTGGAATTTATTATAAAATGAGTATTTATTCATCGGATTGAATCCATCCATGTTATAATTTAAATCTAATCATTTTTATGGATTTAGATTAATTTAATTCATTAGGTAATTTATTGTAAACTTAAATTGAATCTATAATATTGTTTTTTTTTTTAGAATTTTGCACGTGAAAGCTAACATAATTTTACGACTCTGATTGAAATTTATTAAAAAAATGAGTGATTATGAGATCGAATTTGATTTAACGAATTTCACAATTTAAATCATATAATTTTTTACTGTTTTACATAAATTTAGTGAATTAATTCATTTACTGTAAACCTAAACTTAATAATAGTTTATTTGATTTTGGGAATTTGCTTATTATTAATCTGAATCAATCTAATGGCGTGCTTAACCCAAATGAATTATTTTCACTTTCCCTAATCTGTCCAAATGGTAATAAAGTGCTTTGGATTAATGATCTTGATGGCTTTAAAGGATTCAAGAATCCAATAGGGAGTGGATAAGGAGTGGAAACAAGATCTTGTATTTTACTCAACCTTAAGAGAAATTCTCGAGGGGAGTAAATGTTTAAGTCATGTTGAAAGTTTTTTTTTTTTTTTTCATATGCTTGTTTATCTTTTTTCATATGCTTGTTTAACTTCTAGTTGATGCAATACCTTCATATATAAACAAAACACAATCAATAAAAAAAATGAAAATTAGTTTATTTATTGTCAATCTATACACTCGATTAAAATTGTCTTTGGGTTGGTGTTAATCATGCGCGTGTCTACTATTTTCACGTCAAATTGAATAAAAATATGCAAGCTACTCGCAATGACTTGCGCATAGACATAGATCCAATTAATTAAAGAATGTGTACAAAACACACCATATTGACTTCAAGACTTGATTTGAGTGCTTGAGTATGAAGGATGGCATGCATGCTTCAGGTGGTTGCAGGCATGCGAGAGAGTAGAGAGAAAAAAAAAAGTATTTGCAATATAACATTTGCTTTAACATCTCTTTCCTAAATTTTCTTCTAGTCTCCAATTTGATGCTACTCAGTTTTTTCACATCATATTTCCCTCACGTTAATCACTTAACTTTTACATAATTAGGATAGATAGATAATAATTTGTGTTTAACAATGAGAATCCCTAGTTACATTAAATTTTTCGTCATATTTTTCACCTCGAGACGTTAATACTATGTTATGTAACACACCTTTCTCACAAGGTATATCAATATATTAAGTCATAGTCACAGATGTTATGTCATAGGATAAGCAGCACAATCAAACTTCACAAAGTTTCAATTCGGAACAAAGATGGAATACCAAGATTCTATTAAATTTATTTTCCTAGTTTTCATTTTGAGTAACAAAAATCCAAGAGTTTCTTGGCACGGAATACAAAACAAAATAAAATAAAAAAGGTTGCTTGAACTTTCATGTCTTGCTACAAACATATTTATTCTAACCAAGTTCCTCTAGTGTTCCTTCTCACTACAGCATCAGTAAGACATCCATGCTGAATCCATATTTCTATCTGATGTGGGCATGGTAATAGCAAAATTTGACTCTGGGTGGTTAAGTTTCTCTAGGAAATCCTTGATTAGGTTACCTGCAATGTATGAGATTCCTGAAGTTGAAAGTGCCAATGTAACATACAATAACACAGTTTTAATATAGGCTTTGGGTGGTCTGCTGGTATAAACTTTCCCAATAGCAAGTAGAATGATGCACATAAGAGAAGTAGCTGCTACCAAGGCAAGTTTAACTTCAGTGTAGTAATTCTTATTGATCAAGAGGCCATAGACAACAAGGGGGACAGCACCAAAAATCAGGAATGATAAAACAGCTACAACAGCATGAAGCAAGAAGTTCGCTCGGCGTCCTAGAAATTCTTGATACCGATCTGTTTGCGTTTGATCCTCTCCAGAGTGATCATTTTTCAAGTCAATAAGCTGGAGAAAAAGAGAGCATTGTCTTATTTTTTATTTTTTTTAGACTAGTTTAAGAAAAAGAAAAAAAAAAAGACTTGAGTGAAATGGGTGTGCATGTGCATTTCAGGATTTGAAACCACACATAAGTTTATCTTAAGTAGGCATGTTTGACCAAGTTTTAAACAGATGGAAATAGAATTCATACTTCCATTCTCGTATGACATTTCAACTATATCTTTTTTATGCATGAAAAATATGAATAAAGAATGTCAGAGATACGATGATGGAATTTAGAATTATGAGATTGGAGGAGCACATGGAAGCCCACTCACATTGTGACCAAGGATGAAAAGTCCACCAATGATATTTGCAAATCCCAATGCTAAAATATTCACTACAATAAACATAAGAACACAAAATCAATTTGTCATCAACCAAACATTCATCTTTTTAGATGAAATAAAAAATTGCTAATGTCAAATAATACTCAAAAGTGTAGATAATTCTATCAGTTCAGTAAACCGTCTCATTAAACTAGGAACAGAAGAGACAATTACAAATTAAAGTAAGACTATTACAAGAACCAAAAGCAGAAATTTTATGAAGTCCACAAATGTACTTGGTAAATTTTTGTTTGACTATTTAACCGGGGCATGTTTCAGGTCAGGGGAAAACCTGATCAATGATGTGGTCTTCATGCATGGAATATTTTACCAGTGTCCTATAACTTGTTTGTTATTCATTAATTTTCTAAATGGCCTAATTTTTATAACGTTGATGGTCTCATCCATGACCCCATTTTATCTATAGCCATGAAATCTTTGTGAAATGAAAGTCATGAATCATGGCTCCATTCCATGAATTATTATTGGATGAATCATGATCACAATTCACAACTTTAGTACTAGTCATGATACACACCTTCTTCGTGTCAGATAGGATCATTACTAAAAGATTTTTAATCTTAACAGACCGACCTATTTAAAATTTTTAATTAAGTTAGGATAAAGATTTCTTGAAAGTCCATTTAGCTAAAAGGCTAGGCTTTAGATTATCCGGAAAGCCTTTTAATCTTAACAAACCAACTTATTTAAGAAAATATAAATAATAAAACAATTATGATATTATTTTTATTATTATTGTATTGAATTCTTCTATAATATTTTTAGATGTTATATGTTTGCTGGCTTACTTAAAAGGCCACACTACTATATAAACTTTTAGCCAGAAAAGACTTTTAGAAAGCCAGGTCAAGCCTTGAAAGGGCTTGGTACCAGGCAAATTAAGGTTTTGGGTGTAGGAAATGGATCAAGCTGATTTAAGGTGAGAACAAGTCTGACCTATTTGCACTGCTAATTACACATATCTTATCCAGTTAACTTATTTTCATTCTTGAAAAGATCATAACTAAGCCACCTAAAGGAAGAGAGAAACTTACATGGGGTAGCACCCGAACTAACTGCAGATGACACAATTCCTAGGCTTGTGATTGACTCAACTAAACCACCATACACAATGCTTTTAAGTATTTCCCACCCTTTTGGTTCACCAACTTCATCTCTTGGTTGTGTAGTTTGTTCTCGAGTTGGTAATTCAGTTATTATAGCACTTTCAGCTGGAATATCATCTGCTGTATGAGATGCTGTGGGTACAAATGCTTCTTCCTCAAGATTAACTATCACATCACCACCTGCACCAAAACAATAAGTAATAACTCTGGTTATTACACAAATGCAAACCTGCAAGACTTCTACTGGAAACAAACTCTGCAAGTGATACAGGTTAGCAATAATGTTCTATACCGGTGATTAACTGATGACATTTATTTCATGCACATACCTTCATTTTCTTTTCTGGCAGGAGGACTTATTTCCTTGTCAATTAATGTAAATTCTAGTTTTGATGGAAAGATAGCATCTGTCATAGAATTTTGTTTACTACTAGCTACATCAGTTGCAAGTATTGCACTGCCAGATGATTGAATTGGTGATTGTGCTCCTTGTACCAAAGAGGAATAACCATTTTGAACAATTTCTGGTGTCTTGTCCACATCTTTCAGTGTATCCTTAAGGATTTGAGACCCTGCAGTTGAAGAAGTAAGATATTCAGGTTTCCCTTCATATGGTTTCAGAATGGCATCTTCTGTGGCTACTTCAATTATTTCAGTTGTAGTAGCAGCTGCTGATGGAACACTCTCATATTTCGAAACCTTCTCATTGGAAATGCTCACTGATGGCATGAATTCAACATTATCATCTGGTTAGATAATTTTAAAAAGTGAGCAAGAAATAAATAACATTGGGAAAAAGGAAAACGTAGATTATGTATAATTAATAGGTGCACAAATGTTTCATATTATATTTATATTGGACGGCTAGGAAAGCTGCTATCATACAAGTTTAGAAGTAGACATGCATAATTCAATAAGAAACAGAAAATTATGCAGGTTGGGAGTTTGAACATATTAATTTTGCTAAATAACAGGGAAAATAATTAGAATGTAAAAACATAAGAATTTTGACTTGTTTGTTTTCTATTAATCACAGTTTATTTCAAAGTAACCAGCATTCAAATAATTGAGCCAGTGACTGTGTACTTTCTTTAATAAGGAACACAACCTTTCGAGGTGGATGTCATATTTCTATTGCTATATTCATCATGCACATTTGACAAGTGATTGTGTTCTGAAAGACCTGATATGAAATAAAAAAAAATTCAAGGAATTAAATCTCAAGCATACCTGTCCTTATTATATCCTCTGAAGCATTCTTTTCCTCTCCCTCACTGACCGTAAAGTTTCCATCCAGTAATTGTTTCACAGCACAAAAATCTGCTGTATCCTGGACAACTCTCTGCACTCCATTCATCAAATCACCGGAACTTTTTGTTCCGGACTGTATAGATGACAAGTCATTCTGAAACAATAAGTGAATACATGTTTGGTCAGCCAATGGCTCATTTCATGATGCTGTACGAAATTTGATGCCATTTTCTATACATGGTTTAATCTTTATTGACTTACCGTTGATGAAATCAGAGAATCCGGGCCTCCATGTGCATGATTAATATCTGGTGTAGGCCCTTTGGGATGACCAATTCCAGGTGAGGTGAGCTCATCTGAAGTAATTGATGCTGAGTTATGCTGGTCAGCAGAACCAGTTCCAGAATATTCAACGGGTGAACCTCCTACATAATCATATCAAGAAAATGGGCACATTGAAGACAGAGATTTCATAATAAATAATTTAAATCTAAAGTGAAATTCACTGCAAGATTAATGCATGATTCCCATATTTCTCAGTTTACATTTCGTATGGTAACTCAACCATTCAAGAAAATATTGGAAACGAAATATGAGAAACTCTATTAATAGGATATTCAAGAGGGAAGCAAATCACAAGGAGTACAGAAAATTTGAAATGCTTCTGAAAACAAGTTTCTTCAGTTAGCTCAGATATCTCATTTAAATATATAAAGATATGTGAAGGAATGGTATCCATTTTTTACTCTGAAATTATCTTCACAAATGATTGTTACAAAAAGTACTATGGTGTCATAATTCGGATAGAAGGCTGGAAGCCCCATGACACACACCTTGGTGGGGCCAATCTTCAAATAAGAATCATTGTGAAAGTGACTTCTCTAAGAAGTACCAAAATAATAACTATTTAAAAATAAATAAATAAAAATTCCTTACTAGCTTTTTTCCCCTTATTAAATAGAGACTTGAACCAATTTGCATTGGAGCCTTGTGGATTTGAAGGATTTTGCAAATTGCTTGCAGGTACACTTGGAGGATTTTGTGCATCTTTAGTCTTGTTGATACTACCAAACAGGTCAAAACATTTTCCTGTTCAAATAAACGAGATTATTAAGTTCACATAGATGAGAAGCGTTAGCACATAATCATCATAGATCAATCATTATATATCAAAAGAAAACTTATGGCTTGCATTAGTAAAAACATCTGTTAGCCTTCACCAAATAGAACAAATTTAGGTTGACTAGGAACTTGACAATGACCTTCAAGATATCAGAGAAACATATGAATGTTTAATTCAGAATGAGATCTCATTTACAGCAACATTTTTATACCTTAAAGTTAACAATACAGCTTCCTTGAAATAACATCTTTAAGTCACACTAAACCTGAGGAAGTTCAGATTCCCTCCTGATATTATGACCTTCTGGCCAATAAATATTTTTTAACAAACTTAAACCAAAGACTATACTATGCTTTGATAACAGAACAGGTAACCCACTTACCACTAGGAATGAAGAAGCTAAAGCATTGTAAACATCTGAATACTTCTGGTTCTTCATGAGGCTGATTATCATCAGCAGGTGGCTCTGGACTAACAACATCAGGTTCAGATCTTACATTTGCATTATCACCTCGGTTGGATTTGGGATGTTCAGGACTATCTGACAGCCCTGAGCTACCTATAGTCTCCAACTTATCATGCTCAGCTTTGTTGTCTAAACTATGAATCTTCTCCAACTTATCACGCTTGGCTTTGCTATCTACTCTTTTACCGTTCCTTTTTCTTTTTCTGAGGATTACCCTTTTAGTAATGCAAGAATGACAGTTAGGACAGAACAAGTCATGTGTCTCTTGTTTATCTAATACTGCCTCGACATCAAATTCTTCAAGTGGCTGATCAATCTCTTTTATCAAGTTAGGAGCTTCCTTTGCACTAGTTTCTTCATGAATATTCGTAACAGCCATAGCTTGTATGTCAGATGAATTATGTATATGGGATAGTTCTGGGATGGAAGGGAGCTTGTTGTCCACAGTTTTCATAAACTGACTTTTGTTTTCACTGCAAAGACTAGTTTGAATCACTGACAGATCTGTTTGAACATCAAATTCTCTCCCACCAAGACTTTTTGGATGAACAGATCCAGAAGCATCACCATTTTGAACTCCATTAAGTCCATTAACTTCATCATCTGCACATATAACCATTTCAATATAAAATAGCTAATGGAAAAGAAAAATTAGGATGACATAATTATGAAAGCCCAAACTGAGTTTCAAAGATATGGTTATTACAGGTTAGGTTACTCGATGCTATACAGAGCTGATGCATGCATATAATTGTTGATTATACTAGTTCCATAATCATAAAATGATACTACAGTAATACAGAAATTGAATTATTACCAATACTGGCGCCAACCATTCAAATAAACAAAAATCCATTGCGTCTATCTAAACATCTCCAAAACAACGTCAAAAGTGCATATACGGAAACATTGAACAAGAGCGGGGCTTATTTCTATATTGGTATTCTAACAACTCTAAACTTTTTAAGTCAACAAAGTAAAATTAACTTTTACAATTACATCCAGAAATTTAAAGTAAAAGTAACTTCAAGTCCTCACAATTCATTATGGAGAATCTATCCCACTTAAAGACTATTCAACTATGCTGGTCAGAACTGCTAATGTGTGTTCTAGAATCTTGGCATCTACTGACCTTTACTTTCACAAAAAAAACATTGTCCATGTTGAATCATAGGTTTGACATTCATCAAGTCAGGATAACCCTTAAGATTCCAATTTGGCACAGTCCAAGCACTGTCAAATCGCTTGGTCCATGTGCAGTGGTGACATTTCCACATTCCTTCAAGCATAAAAAGTGACAACATGTTTACTAAACATCAGAAAAAGAAAAGTAATTCCCAGAAATTTGATTAAAGAAAAAGCATTTCAGTTAAGTAGAATTAGTGTCCGATTTTTATTTTCTGGTAAGTTTCAGTTAACTCATCTATGTAGGATATTATCTTTGTTCACAAGTTATTGGTTATGTTGTCAACCTAAACCATTGAAAGAGACAGATCTTCAGAACAAGACTAGTACAAAGATTAAAAAAAAAAAATGTCCGCAACCGCGATTTCTGCCACAAATTCAAGGTTTTTGGAGTCTCTGCTACACAACTGCAACCACAATGTCAAATATTTGGTTTTACAATTTCCCACCACAATATCATGGATTGCAACCATGAGTGCAACCACAGTTTAAAAAAAACTTGCTAGAACTAATGCACAGATCATAATTCACACCACAACGTAGTAACTTAATTGAAGAAAAACATAGGGAATGAAAGTGATGCAACAACGAACAAACAACAGTGGTTCTCTGAAAAAAAGTATAAAACAATTTAATAAACCAAAAGAAAACTGCACTTTATCAACCAAGAAACTGATCCTTTGTCCCGAATAGAATGCTATAGTATAACACAACAAAAATGAAAATCCAGGAAAGAGAGAGAGGAGGTGAGGTACCTTGTTGCTTATCAAAATAAACACTGTTCATATTCTGTGACATATTAAAACCACTTATGGCCTCTCCATTTGTTGGTTCTCCAGCAAATTCTGCTACTTGTGCAAGCCCAACAGCTTCACAATGTGCTTTATCACCATTGACATGGTAGCAATTTTCACAACCATTTCCTATCTCTGAAGCTTCTCCATCTTTCTGATCAGGAGATCTATCTGGGGCTGTGACCACTGAACAAATTCCATCATCATGCTCACTGCCACTGCTACTAGAAGAAGAAGAAGAGGAGGAGGAGGAGGAGGAGGAGATTGTTACTTCTTCTGAAATAAGACCACCCTTGCTATGTGACACAGATTGCTTTCTTATCAAAGCACCATCTTCCATCATTTCTTCTTCTTCTTCTTCTTCATGAGGATGCACTGCCCATGGATGTGCTTCTTGTTCCATTGATGCTGACTATCCCACAAGAAAACAGACACAGAAACTATCCCAAGATTGGATTTTTTTGGGAGAAGTGAAGGTTTTGGGTGGATATTTATGGTTTCCGAACTCTTTGACAGTCCAGACTTTACATTAATGCCAACCTTACAACCAGTACGCGCATGGAAAATGAATGTATAAAATATTCAAGAAAAATATGATCAGTGTTTGTCAACTTGCCTGCTCAAAAAAATACCCGAGGAAAACAAGAATTTCGTTAAAAGAAATTCCTTTTTAATCATAATGTATCATGTAATTAAAAATCATTACTAATTTCTATTTACGGAAGAATATTAATTCGATTAGGGTAAGTTATTTGTTTAATTAATGTTTTTGAACAAACACTTATGTTAAATGATGGAAAAAAAATATCATTCACTCTTTTCATTTTTATTTATAACTATCAAATTAAAAATAGTATCTGTTTTTTTTTTTTACAAGTTTCAATTCATAATGTATTATCCCTAATTAATATAAGTGAGAGAATGCAGTGACAGATGTTTAAAAATGAGAAAAAATATTAATGATAAGGATAATTTTGAAAAAAAATATAAATTTCAGAAAAATATAATATTATCAGTTAACTAAACTATTTTCTCTTAGTGTGATGAATTAAATAACTGAAATTTATAATAGAAGCAGTAATTTTATTGAAATCTATGAACTTTAATTTTAAGTTGTTGCCGGGATAATTATAATTAGACAATCTATGAACTTTGTTTGTACTGAAAAGTTGTTTTCATGATTTTATCTGAAAATTAAGAAAGGTGCTTGTTTCAGAGGTTAATGGGACCGGCTTGGATCTCTATGACCATGACCGTAAGCATAAACAATTGTCTTGTACTGTTCATTACATGGCGGCGTTTTAGGTTTTCTACATTTTTTTTATAACCTGATTAAATTATTTTATTTAAATATAGGCAAAATTATTTTTATTTAAAACTCTCTTCGTTTGTTTTATTCCAATAATTGAGCTTTCAAAAGTTCAGAATTCTAAAAGTTAGAAAATCCATTGAAAAAATATGAAAAGTTTTAATTTGATAGGGAAAAAATATTTTTTTATTCCGTCGAGATATTCGATTTTAATATATCGTTGAGTCAACTTTTATTATCTAATTTGAAATTTATATTTATATAATTTTAGTTTTAAGAGATATTTAGATGAATGAAGAAAAAACGGTGTATATAAAGTTTCGAATTTTACGAGAGACATGCGGTGTAACACTTTTAACGTCGTTATTTAGATTGAATATTTTAATTAAAATGGATAAAAATAAAAAGTTGAAATATTTTAATAGAAAAACACGAATAAAAGGATCAATATTACTTTACTTTACAAACGAAAATTTAATTAGATAAAAAGGAATCAATCAAAAGCTTCATTTTACATGATAAAAATATTTAAATATCAAATTGTAATTAATTAAACCAAGATTCAATATTATTAAAATGAAATTGAGTTTAGAATTTAAAAGAAAAAACAAGAAATGAAATCCCCAAATTTTTATTTTTTCCTGCCATAACGTGCAGTCTCTGAAACTGCATTTATATATACACAGAAGAAATAAAGATGTTGGAAGTGGAACTCACGTCTGCATAAGCACTTATCAACATCATCTTCTAACCATTGCTGTCTGTAAAACATCCCAACAAACACAGCCTTAAAACATTAATTTAGTGCAAACGTGACAGCTGGATAATTAATAATCATTTCAAGCTACGAAACTATGATAATAAATAAATGGTGTAAGCTTTGAAGTGGGGCTTATGCGGGGTACCACTTTCAAAATGATATTTAATTTTAAACATTAATATAATATATGTAAAATTATTTCGGACCAAATGATAATATAGACAAAATTAATATGTTGTTTATCCAATTATAATATATAAAATCTCATAAATAAATTAAGATAATTAAAGAATTATGATGTAATTTGTATATATAACAAAAAAATTGAATATATATTTTTGGTATTACAAAATTTACAAGGTAAATTTTGATTCTATTTTTTCTTTCATACTAATCTTTATTTATTAAAAAATCTTCATTATTAATTATTTCTATTAATGAAGATTAGGTCATCGTTTTGAAATGTAGACGAGTACGCAAACATTTCTCCTTGCCAATTATGAAACTGAACCTTAGCAATGCTTTGTCGTTTATAGATAAATGAAAATGGTTGCATCATGATATACGTGCCACTCTTTTTCAATATTTATCTTTTATTCATCACGATAATACTTCTATCTTACGTTTTTCTCACCAATCAATTAGTTTTGACTATATATCATTTACTTTATATACTTTCCTTCAAGATTTGAAGTATCTCGATCGGATGGGTAGTAATATTGATTTTTTTTAATTTAATATATTTGAATTCGTTATTAAACTTGCGAATTAACTCTGAACAAGTTAATGAATTAAATAATCTAGTCCGAGTTAATTTTTAACTAGATTTAGAGTAGATTTAGAGTCTAACTTGAAAATGTGAATTATACAAGTTTAAAGAAAAAGAAAATTTTGAATTTTTTTCGATTCTCCTTATTTCTTCGTACAAGTTCATATCTTACTCATTCTTATTGTTCATCGTTGTCCGTGGTCGTCGTCGCATGACGCTTGTTTGGATTGTGCATTGGTCCATGTTGTCACGCGACGTTCACTTGAGTCTCACCTCTTATAGTTGTTGCTACTTACTGTCCCTTTAAGTTAGATTGAGAAATTAAGGGATTTAAGATTTTAGGATTTTCGAATAAATGAGATAAATTAGATTCAGGAATTGAAGGATTTAAGATTTTATGATTTTTAATAAATGGAGAGATTTTAGATATTTAAGCTTTTTTTTATAATTTTGATTATACTTGTTGTACAACTTTAATTATTTTTTTATTATTTTAATAATAAAAAATTAATATTATTATATTTATTATTAAATTTATATTTTTCATATAAAATAAACTCTTACGAATCTAATCTACCTACCTTTTACGAGTCTACTTATATTTTTGCATAATACTTAATAAAATAAAATGAGAAAGTATTTTTATAATCTTATATTATTTAAAAAATAAATTGTCTACCATTCATTTAAAGTCTTAAATCCGCCTCTATAGATTATGATTAATCTCAACTTTAAACTAAACTCATTAAAAACCATAATAACTTACAAAATTACATATTGTAAATATTTCACCACCAACATTTCAAGTAATTTAAGAATAAAAAAAATAAGAAGTGAAGTTTTAATTTTTATTATTTTCATAACAATAAAAAAATAAATCTTTATATTAGGCTTATTATAATGTAATACTTTATTACTCATCTTTTGTCATGAGAAAACAAATTGAATATAAAATTTTACAATCCTTTAATTTTATATAACTAAAAAAAATTCTTGCTAATATTAATTAAAAATTGTTTTAATTGATGACAATTATAAAAATTGTGCTTGACCTTGAAAATTATTATATTTAACCTATCCAGTATGTGTGTGTGATTCATGCCTGGAGAGTGGGGCAAGTGAGGGTTCCCATGGTCCTGCTTTTAAAATACTTTGAATTGGTCATGTAGGGTTTTTTAGGTTAGGGTTTGAATGGAATCAGATTCTGACAAAGTCTTGTTTGGTTTAAGCTTGATATGACTTTCACGTTTGGACCAATGTGCTAAATTATCTCTCCTCGTATGATGTGGAGAATATGTGCTGAATTTGGTGTCCCTAAAACCATGTTGAAAATGGGACTTTTTTGCACCCATCATCATATACCCTCTACACATGCATTGAGCAAGTGTGTGCAACAATGTTATCATTCTAGAGAAACCTGCATTGTTTGGTGAGGTTTTATGGAACATTATTAATGCAGTTGGAAGGAAATTAGAGAAACATTTAAGTCATTGGCATAGTGAGACAACATGTGTATGTATATCACTGCTAATTAATTGTGGTTGTCTGCTACAACTCCAACTTCAATAATAACCTTATATTATATGTTTAAGTATATATACCAAATAAGATTTGGCAACGGTTTATTGAATTTTACATTGAATGCAGCCATATTCAAATGTTGGATCCATTTCGAATGCCAAACAAGGAAGCATGTAGAGTGATGGAAGGCATATGCAGTTCCAGCTGCATAATTAAACTGAGGGGCCATATTTTCAAGATATTATTATTACCTTTCATCCCAATTAATTCACAATATACTATGTTAATTACTCTATGAAATCAAACGAGTTTCTATTTGATCCTAACTCCTCGATTGTTTAACCTAAACATCATGTGTTAACTCTATTTGCTTTTAATCTTAATCATCCTCCTCACTATTGTGTTCATAACAGAGAAGGAATTAATTTTGTCATCTGGTTTTTCAAACAGCAAATTTTGACTGGCTTTACACACATATAGTTAAAGTAAATGGTTTGCCTCTAGAAAATATAAAACCAAAGCCTGCATAATCACAATAACTCAAGGAAAAATCTCACAGATCGAAGGCCTGTACTTTTGAGTAAAAGAGAAATATTATATAAACACAAAGGAAACATTGAATGAAAATATTCCAAAATAACTAAATGAATCAACAAATGATATTATCAGAATTTTGAGTGTGAAAGCATAAGCAGTCACGATAGGGACACAAATATGGCAATATCAATTAAAAAGTCAACTAATGCTCCAAGAATAATTAGTGTAGACCATGACCAAGAGGGTGGTGCTTGTAGATTGTAGAAGCAGTTGCTTACTTTATTGGCTTCAATTCTGGTTCTATTATTAACCGGTCCTGGCAATACAATGTCAAGCATTTCAATGATTTCAATGTTGATAAAAGTTTTATCAGCAGTTAAACAATTAACAAATGAGCTTAATCAAGTACTGAGTTATATCAGATACAATAATAAGCAGTAATTTCTTGCAACTTCAGTTCATTTGAGTTCATTTTCTTATCATTCTTCTGACACATCTTCAAGCACAGATCATGACCTCATCCTAACTGATCATAGTCAAGGTTATCAAATCAAGATTTAAATATTAAATAGTCAGCTAATATTTTGATCACGAATCATAATTTGGATTGAAAAGTAAGCTTTGGAGCTTAATATATTAATTTTTAACTAGAAAAAGATAGCGCAACCTAACCATGAGTCTCATAAAACTAAATTATGGGTTATATTTGAATTTGTGAAGATCCTACTCTAGAAAAGAATGGAAACAAATTAATGAAATAACTAAACAACGTGTGAGCATTGAATGGGTGACAAATAAAATAATAGAATAATCAAATAAATTTATAAGTAATTATTCAACTCTATTCATTTAACAATTAAAGCTTATTTGACTTTTCAATCTAATCAATGACTCTTGATTCGTATTGAAGATTTTGAGATTTATCATATGATATGGAATCAGTAGGTAACCGAATAGTACCAAATTGTAAGATTGGAACAGTGAATCATAAGATTCGAATAACTATATCCATAGTTAAAGCGTTATTTCATCTTGACACATTAACAAACATAAGAATTACCTTCTCATCCTATATTTTTATATGTTTTGAGAATGGATTACATTTCTGAACCAACCAAGATATGACTAAAAAATGCCACGGAAGTTATTCTAGTACTAAAAGAATAGGATGCAAGTCTTAAATCTCTAACACCTAAATGTAAATTCAATAAACCTGCATACAATTGAAGCCTCGTTTCTTTCCCCTACCTGTTTAGAACCTCACTGCAGTTGCGACCGTCTAAAATCCTAATTTGATGTGGTTTATCTGCATATATGTTAAATCAATATTTCATCAGAAGACTGAGGTTGAAAATTTAGCAGGTAAAAACTGTGGCACTGAAAGATGAATGCATGGCAACGGGGCGGGGTGGGTTTTGGCTCGTCCCGACTTTTTTAATCATCCCCTTCTATGCACTCTGATCTTTGTTGGGGTTAAAAATTAAGTTCTCATTCCGTTCCAGTTGGGTTTCAGGTTCTTCGTCCCCGATCTATATTATTTTAAAAAAGATAATTACATTTATAATAAATTAATTTTATTATGTATTTTTTATATATAAATAAATATTTATAATTTTATAATTTATAATTATTATTAATTAAATATACATTTTAATTTATTATATTTATATACTAAAATATGTATGTAAAAAAATATTTAATTATTTTTTATTTATATATAGAGAATATTTATAACATTATTATTATTATTATTATATTCAAATAATTGAATACTTATAATATTATTATTATTATTATTATAATACTATATTAATTATATAAGTTAATTTATTTTTAAGTTGTCATTTAAAAATATGAAATATATAATTTATAAGGAAATATTTAATAAGTTAATTCTTATTTAATTAGTTCGAAGTAATAAAAGTTTAAATTATCAATTTCTTTTAATCTTTTAAAATACAATTATTTTATTAAGATAAAATTTGATATAAGATAAATAATAATAATAAGATCAACAAATATGACATAATAAAACCTAATAAATATAAATTATAAATAAAATAATATTAGTTACTACTAGGATTTATGTAAAATATTTAGAAAAAATAAAGAAAAAAACTTACTTTATGTTTTTCAAATTTGTTGAAAAGATTAAAAAAATAAATAAATTAATGGAAGAAATTAATGAAATGTAAAAAACAAAAAGGTAAGAGAGAGAATAATGTAATAAATTAATTGATATAAAAGATTAAAAAAGACAAAAAAATTAAAAGTGGATAGAAGAAAAATAAAACTAGTGAAATATTAAAAAAATGATCTTATATGTAATAGAAAAAAAAAAGAAAATACATTATTCTTAACTATAAAGTCGGGCGGGACGGGGTCGGGGATTGCATTACCCATCTCAGCCTCCGCCCCGCCCTGAACTTTTTAAAGTGGGAAAAACCCGAATCCGCCCCGTCCCCGGTCAACTCGGGTTTTCCCGTCAAACTCGAGGCGGAGACGGATCGGTCCCCACTAGTGACGGATCTTGATCATTGATCTTGGGAGTCAAATAATATATTATTAATAAATAATAAATAAATATAAAAGGAAGAAAGTAGATGAAAGGGTAAAAAGATAAAATTGTAGATATATACTTAAATATATTAAATGAGCATTAAGTTTGAAGGGAACAAAATCATAAATTATATGAGTTACAAAACTGAGGATGGGTTAAGAGGATAAAATTGTAAATATACACATCAATATATTAAATATTCATTAAGTTTGAGGGGGTCAAAATCATAAATTACATGGGAGTTATAAAATTTTGGGGGTCCACGGCACCCCTCCACTCCCAAGAAGATCCGCCACTGGTCCCCACGGATACGGGTTTTATTTTCATCCATATCTAACACAATTAGGGAAAGGGGCATAAAAAAAATGCCATCGAAAGATGAATCTTAACCATGAAGGAGAAGATACTAGGTGAATCAAAATCCTCATAAATGTGGGAACTTAAACAAAATCCTAATAGCAAGCAAGTTTGATATTTCTTTTTCAATAATTTCACATATTTGATCCGCATTTTCAAAAGGTTCCATTTGATAATTAGCATTTCCATAGGAATTGCATGCGCCCAAATCAATAATACAGTAGCAGTAAGTAACTACGAATCAGGTTTATGATGTATGTGCCCAAGACCTCAAGAACAACAAAATATTTGTAATGAAGTGGAGATGGCTGTGGAAGAACACACTGTTTTTGTCTCAAACTTCTTTGTTATAACAAAATCATCAGAAAAAATGAGAATAAGAACAGTCACGTGATGTGAATATAAATGGTACCTTGATGTAGCAAGGTCCTTCGTATGGTTCTTTAAAATTCAAGGAAAACACTATCAATTGTCTTGAGTTTCTCCATCTCCTCCTCAGTGGAAATTCCAGGATCAACATAACACAACTGAAATGGAAAAAATATTATTAAACCTCGCCATAAAATGTTGCAGGGAAATTACAAATTTTGGTTAAAAGAATAAAAAACCTGGTATCGTTGCTTCTTTAGTGTGTGAACTCCTCTTTTTATGAGTTTTTGCCATTTAACTTTCTCTGTAAGAAATCTTTCTAGAGCGTCCGTTCTCTATAATGATAATTCACATCATTTGAAAGGATGTCATGCCATCAATACTACGTAACATGTCTATTTCAGATTACTTCTTTTAATAACCACACACAAAAAATACAGATAAAAAAAAGTACGAAGAAAACATATCTTAACCTACTTCAAATTGCATATTCTTACTTGCTAATCCAAAGAATACAACCAGTTACCGGAAAAACTAACGGAAAGGATCATATAAATTTAGTAGGGCTTGTAGTTAAAATTGGTTATGTTTTGTAGTTTGACCTGTTTCAATTGGTCAAGAAGCACTCATATGATATGCAAGCACAGAATTACTCACATACATCTAGATAACAAGAAAACAGACATTAGCATGAAAATATATTACATGACTGGGATCAAGAACCAGGAGATTGTATTGTGGAATTCCTGAGCCTTGATGTTTGACTTGAATTCCAACTATTGTTCTTGAATGTCCATCATGCTGAAAGTAGAGTGGCCTGTCCAAGAAAATCTTTCTAGACTTAAAACATGATAAAAAAACACAATTGTTTGCAAGGTTAGAACATGTGTTCCTAAAATGCACCGTCACTTACGTTTTATCACTGATACGAACATGCTTGTGGTCAAATTTAACGGTGCCTTCATGAGAAAAGTAATTCCACACAAAGTCCATAAGAACTTGGTGACCCTTATTTAGTTTCTTAGTACTGTTTACCACTCTACTACCACTACTTTCTTTATCCACAGAGTCACCGATCCGGACAATAGAAGAACATGACTTTTCATCTTGGCTGCAACTTGTTTGAGCAGCAACACGAGACAGATATCTATCCATTGGTCCATAAGTATTTGGTGCTTTCCTCTTCCTTCCATCATTATTTTTCTGAAGCTCCTTTGCCCCAAGACTTGAACCAGGGACAGACAGATAGAGTTCCTCAGATTCCTTAGGACCAAAATCCACAACCCTTACCCGGAGACCAAAAGAACGCAAAAGGGAAGCACATTCCGTAGCTCCAATCCATTTTTCTGAGCCATAGATAGCATGGTTAAACTGATCAGCGCCAGGTGCATCAAAACCCCTTTCCCAAGCAATCTCAAGCCACCTCTGGAGTGATGGGATATCAGGAACAAACCCAGAACCGCCAAACATAGCTTCTCTTGCTTCTGGCCTTTGTGTCATTAAGTGAGAGCTAAGCATTTGAATGTTACGCCAACCACAACCCCATCCAACATCCTCAAACTCAAGGCTCTGGAAATGATCAACATAACATGTCAAAATGCTTCTTGAGTTTTCAGCCTCAGACTCCAAACAGTCTCTCAACAAGGCCATCAAACCTCTTTCGACCTTGTGAAACTTTCCCCTTCTTTGCACACCAACTAAGGAAGAGAACTTTTCATCCATTTTCCACACCACATTATCTCTACCACTCACTCCTCCACCACCATCAAAATGCAAGCCACTAGCCTGAAGAATATGAAACAACAATACAAACCCTTATGTGTCATTCTTCTCTTGACAAACAGATGAAAAAGCGGTCCACTTTAGACCATATCTGTAACAGAATTTGGTTCATTTAAATGTAAAAGTAAAAGATAATAAAAACTTACTTCAATAAAAATATTACTTTCCATTAAAAATAAAAAGAGAAAAACATATTTTTTACTCCATGTGTTTTTAATGAATCGTAGTCAATCAAGGTCCCTATACGTTGTATCGATGAATTTAGTCCTTTCCAACTTCAAAAAATCAACGAATTTTAGCGAGAAAAGGCTAAATTATCAACCTTTTTAAAATGTAAAGATCAAGTTCATCAATATGAAAATATATATAGCTTCACTAAACATTTTTCCCAAATAACAACTTACGTTTTAAAAAAAGGTAAATAAAAACTAGAATGTCATGAAAAAAGGGGTAAATAAAAGATAATAGATTTTTGGACTCTAATTGAGCTGCAAATGCAAAAAAATCACAATGTAAGCTCATGTGGGTAAAATTTACTTCCATCATTATCCACAAAGCGAACCAGCTTCAAAAGGGTCTTAAAAAAATTCAATTTTTTTTTTCCGATTTTCTTGTATAAACCACAAATGATGATGATCTGAAGAGGGAGAATAGAAGGAAAAAAAGGGTACCGATGGAGAACGATAGCAGGTGTCGTCGTCGTCGAAATGGGTGTTGGCGTGCCTGCAATCAAATCAAAACAGTGTGACTGAGCATGTAATGCATCGAAGGGGAAATAAAAGAATAAGAGAGAGAAAGAAAGAGACCATTGGAGTTTAGAGGAAGGAATTGATAAATGACAGAAGGGGCAAGTAGATGAATCCATGTTCATCAAATCATCAAAATTGAAAGAAGAATGACTAAGGAGGTGATGTTATGTAAATGGCGGTAAGCCCATCCTTTCAAATGATGAAGGCGGCTGTTACATTTTGTTTTTCAAATCTTTTCCTAATTTTACTTTAAATATATTCATAAATCAATAATATTATCTTTTTAAGAAAATATAAAACAATTTTATACTCTGCCAATTAAAACTAATAATATCATAAGTTTGTTGAGATTTATCCTAATATTGTAAAAATTATATTAACAGAAATATGTTATTAGAGAATTTGAAAAATTAAACTATACTGATAATAAATAACTATTAAATCTATTTTTATTCATTATAAATTATTAAAATAAATATTTTTTTATAAAATACTCTAAAAAATTTATAAATATCATTTCAATGTATAATATAAATTAAAATAGATTTTTTTACAATAAATATTGGTAAGCCTTGGAAGAAACAATTTTTCCTTTTACACCCAAACTACACTAGATATGATATTATTACTTTGGAAAAACTTATCTCACATGATATTATAATATTCCATCACTTAGAATGTGATTATGATAGTTTGCTATTATTAACATTTCATATTATATGAGCTTGATCTTACTAATTATTATTATTATTATTATTATTAAATAAAATTATTTTTTTTATTATTCATATAAATAAAATTCATTAAATGTCTATGTGAAGTAATTTTTTTTAGAAAAATAAATTATTTTTCTTTGATAATGATAAAGATTCATTTTTTTAATTATTAGTTTTATGATAAATTGAGAAACGTTTTAAAACAAACTACAGATAAAGTGTTTGGTAAAATAAGTAATTAAATTGTTTTTATTTTGTATAAAAAAAGTATTTATTTAATTATATTTCGGGGCTTTTAATTACTTTTATCTGTCGTCATATTTATTTAAAGATATTTTTGTTAAAATAATAGTATAACAATAATAATAAATAGTTCAATATTAAAGGGGCATATATTATTTTTTTTATTATTAAAATTGGAAAATATAAATAAAGAAAAGTGATGAATTGTAAACTCACTCAAAAGTGTTTTCAAATAATTTAATTCAAGCAAATTCGCTCCTATGTAATAAATTAGAGTTCATTTTGAGAGTAAAAAATTATTTCGTTTTAAGATATGTGGTTTCATCCCTAAAAACTTTTTTTTTTAATTTTTTAAAATATAATTAAATTAATTACTATTACATATTTATTTGATGTTAAACTTTATTTTATTTTTCTTGAAATGGTAAAAAACCCCACTACGGGAATGTGTGGACTTGGTTAAAGTCTTCCATAACAAAGATCCACGTGCAACAACGTTTACTAAAATACGAATTATGTGAACATAACAATTACGAAAACAATCCATTTGATGCCACGAAACAACGTGCGGTGAAAGACAATTTTGTTACAACAATTCCTTAAGAGAAAAGATCACGATTTGATGGCACAAAGCGACGTGTGGTGAGGGCACTGTCAAAGAAGATTCTTGTATTGCTCCCAAACATCTTGTGCATCAGCTTTTCAATCTTTGCTGGAAATTTTTTATTTTGGTGAGAACTGAACTGAAATATTATCCATCATTTCTCGTTGGACGAGATTACACTATGGAAAATAAAGTTTTATAATTAATATACAACAATTTCAAAATATTAATCAGCATATACAATCGAATAAAAAGGTGTAGAGTATCTTAATTATAAGAAAAAGTCCAATAAAAAAGACTAGTTAAATTTCTTGACAAATAATAGTTAGTTAGTGATAAAAGTGATAAATACTTTGTATTGTAATAACAATATGATTATAAGAAAAGTCAGTGAATATACATTCCAAGCAGTGTTTGGCTGCATGCATCTTTACAAAGAAATTAGGCAGCATTTCTTTCAAAACAGCAGTAACATTCTTTTTCCAGACTTTGTAATTGCCAAATACAATAGGCATGCGAGTTCCTGACTTCATAACTACAACGTCTATAAAGACTGAGAGCAAATTAGCATGATTTTATAAAAATAGTGTTTCTGGCCAACCAACATTCAGTCAGGATATGTACACAAATCCATTGGATTTTTCTCTTCCCAAAAGAAGTGCTTGTTGTTGTGTATAAATGTAATAGATTAGTACCAGTCGTTAGTCAGCATCACCCCCTCAACTATTTTATAACCTTGATGATGATCCACCCAACATTTTAGCATGCTCAAGCTTTATGCTTGTTCAGGATCCTAGTGCCACTCTTGGAGAGAAGAAGGTCTCTCATCTCTCTGTAACCCCTGAGCTCTTCAAGTGCATCAGCTGTCTTTCGCGGCATGAAGAATCCAGAAGCAGTGGCAACTCCTCCATCAAGTTCAGCCTTTGGGGAATGGGATGAATAGCAGCTTGGATCTTGGCGCAACGGAGGTGCTGTCCTGAGCATTTGCACAAGAACACCAACAGCAGCATCCTGTGATTTTCTTCCAATTGGCAGTGATGTTGAAGTGATCTCCGCTGCACTCTTCCCATCCACATTCTGGCTGTTTATGTATAAAATGAACAAAAGGGTGGGTGGGGGAAATAACTTAAATAGATGCTAAAATACAAATCATAACTACTTTTACAGAAGCATTAGAAGAGTTGGTCAGAATCATATGGTAAAACAGCATTCACCCCAAACTTCTAACAAGGGCTTAAGTAAAGAGAACATACAAATGACCAAAGAACTGCAAAATATAATCCACAAGTGATCATCCGTCCCCAAAAGCCAAAAAGATGGGTCAATAATAGTATAAAAAAATGGAACTTTAGGACCACGTTAGTAGCAGGATAAATCACATGCAGCTACATGTTCCTATAGCAAGCCATCCCTCTACAAGTTTTCAAAGTAGAAGCCATCATGATAAATTTCTTTGCATAGCAAGCACAGGCAAATGTAGCAGTGGAGACCCACCTCCTCCCTGGTATTAATATATGAAAGAGCTAATGCAACCAAGAGAAATCGACAATCATTTAGCAAGAATAAGTTCTTTTTGGTACATGAGCAATCATAGATTTTAATAAGCTCATGTAAAACTGTCTAAAAGAAAAAAAATTTGCAAGGTATTGAATAAAAAAGGATGCCCATAAAAAGCCATGTTCTGGCATTGACATTAAAATAAGATGGTCTCATAAAAGATGGTGTCAATCACATTAAAATAACCACCCTGTTGTTCTCAAAAGTATACCAGGAGATCCCAACTTTATCCACAGGAGTACAAGCAATAGTTTTTCATTGAAGCGGATGGACAAACAAGCAGGAAATATAAATATCATTCAAATACTATCAAACCTATTATCTATAACAAAACTTAATATTTGACAGCTTCTTTTACCTAAGTTTTTATCTATAACCAAACTTGTCAGAGAATAAATTGGAGATTTAGTAAGAGGCTATGACAAACTTGGCTTTTGGGGATGAACTACTTGGTAACAAAAATATTTTCTGATTTTCCTGGGTTAAAATATCTGAAAATTATGTTTCCTTCATGCAAAGGATTGGAGTTTATAGGCTCACATAGACCACTTGTCAAATCATCATGGAGATATAAAATAAATCTATGATGATTAACGAACCTCCACATATAAACTTTAATATTAATTATTTAAATCTTACTATAAAAACCTATCACAATCTCAGAAATAATGACTACGAAACATATCTACCAAGTTCCACAAAACAAATCCATTATATCAAATAATCTGTCGGTCTATTTCTTATTCATAAGCATTCCATGGAATAACAATAGGGTCTTTGTCCATTAAATACATATGTCTAAAACCTTGTCGGCATTCAAAAATATCGTTCCTGAAAATGCAGAATTTCTTTTACCATTTTGAACATGTAAGCAGATTAAACTAATTTCTAATGTGGCACAAGTAACACATCCATTATAATCTTTAACAACCAGGAATGGTTTTAGAAATTAGAAGTTCATTATAGGATACATCACTGAAATCATCATTGAAGAAGGAGCTCTTTTAAAAGTAAAGTGTTCATATCAAGGTACTCATTGTACACTTAAAAAATGGCTATGACTTTAGTTGTGAATGACAAAGTCTACCAAAGTACCTGGATTGAACATCTGGTGCATCAACATCATCAACATCAAAAGGACACGAAAAGTCACCATCATCCAACTCATCCTGAAATGATAATCTACTTGAGGTTCCAGAAAGTCCAATGCGTGGTGACCCACTTGAGGAAAACAATCCTGAGAACCTCCCTGAATCATCCTTGCTATCTCTGACAAACTACGAAGAAGATACAAGGCTTATCAAACAGATGAAACACATTTGATTTTAACTACAGGAGTAGAGATGAAGGAACAAGGTTACCTTTTGACCAGTCCTTGAAGCTTCTAGTTTCCTGAGTGACCTGATTCCAGATGGAGAATCTTGTAATGAACCATCATTCCTTCTGGGAGATAAAGGAGGCAGGGAATTTCGACTAGGATCTGAAAAATTAGGAGAAAGATTTCTAGAGCTTTTGCCCATTACTGAATGAGGTATAGTTACAGGGGCTGTTTCAGAGCGTATGCGAGTTTGCATTGGATTGCTACCACAGAAGTATGTAGGTGGCGATGGAGATGGTGAAGGTGAGAATGGAGGAGAAAGTTGATACTCATCATAAGTTGTAGATCTTTGCCAATTCAGCACTCGACAGTTGGGTAATCTGACACCATAATTATCAGTAGGTGGGGATGGATAATCATATGGCTTGGGAGAACCTCGATACACTGGCGGGGAGCCAACATAAGGATGGTTCTGTGCAAGAGGAGCTGCTTTATGGAAGCCACAAGTCCAGCTATGAGGACGATCAAGAGGCGCAGAAGATGGTGGTGATATCCCTCTTAGTGGAAAGGAAGTGGCACGAACACCCTTATACAAGACAGGGAAAGACCTTAAAGGATCAGTATTGGGGCTTCCAACATAATCGGTAATTATTTTGGTTGACAGTGAAGCTGAACACTCAAGGTTGAAATCAGATAGTGCAGTTCGATAGGTCACAGATATACAAAGGCGACCAGGAAGAGTCTCAATAGGAGTGAACTTGTATTCTGCCATCATTCCCCCTTCTGCCCTGGAGAAAGGATCACTAAATGAAGAGACCTTGTAAACAATATCAAAATTACAACTATGACTAGATGTGCTTAACTGCCTAAATATCTTATAAGCAGGGAGAAGCCTCATTTGAGAATAAAGAGCTCGAAAAAGCACTATTGACTTCTGGTATGTCTTCTTGTAAGAGCTAGTAATGTCACCAGTATGAGGAGCCACTACACGGGGACAATCATACTGAACGACCCACCTCTCTATGACTGTCTCAACAGAAGAACCAGCCACATCATGAACCAGTATAATGTCAATTATCATTGGATCCATCAAATTCCTGTGCCAGAAGTGCAAGTTATCCAGAGCAGAAGGCCTATCACCTAACGCCAAGTTAAACCACTTGTCACTTCTCCTCACACGAGAACCTACGGACAAGTCACCACTTCTATCATGGGGGCGTAACAAAGGTACCCTTGAGTCCAAAATTATGTGCAAGCACTTCAAAAGAAATTGATAAACAATTTGCTCCAATTTGCCCAATTCAGGCTGCATGTTATTCTGCAAATCCATCTTACCCCAAGGTAAAAAATTTAATTCCTAATCAAATACCCCCCTCCACCCAGGAACATAGTTTTACCAAAAAAAGATTCTTTCCAAGAAAAATCCACTACTTGTCAAACACCTCTCTCTCTCTCTCTCTCTCTCTCTTCAAATAGAAAATTCCACAAACACATGAGATAAAGAACAAATCACTTAGCTCACACAGCATCACCTCAGTGATCACCACCAGAGAAAACGAACCCCATCAGCATCAACCAAGAAAATCCAGAATCATGGACCACTCTGACAATGCAAAAACAATAATCAGCAAGCATGTCCACAGTGCAATACGACAACATCATCAACAAGCAAATTCCAACTACAATGCAGATATACACAGCCCCATGAAAGAAAAATCAATTGGATACACAGATCACATGGGGTTTTCAAGTAATCAACAACAAACTAATGCACCTTAATTTTTCAAAAACAAAACACCATCACCACAGCATCAACATGGGGATCTAGAAATCAAGAACAAATTTTTATCATGTGGGTAGCAACAGAGGAACTCCAGAAAGAGAAAAAGCGAAGCACTCACATGTTAGGGGAAGCGGAGACGAAGAAGGGGGTGATGGGTGTGGTGGCATTGGAAGAGAGACGCCATTGGAGAGAAAAGGTTGCGTAGAAACACACAGTGCCGTAGCGTTCTCTCTCTTCAACTCCTAATTATTAATTATTATTATTATTATCACTAATCAGATTAGATGCATGACAATAAATTAATAATTAATAATAAGATATGTATGTCATATATTTTAATTCAATAGATCATGTTTGGAAATAGAATGTGAAAATGGCAGTAGTAGTAGTTAAAGGTGCATGAATTATTATTAGATAACGGTTGAAAATTGCAGGCAAAAAGATAAGAAAGTGGTTTCTTTCTTAACCTTAGGTTCCCTCTGTTATGTGTGTCTCACTTGGCCAATTTTATCATCCAAAAACCAAATTCAATCATTGATTGGTGCTTTTCATTTTTATTTCTTTTTCCAAAAAACAGGACTGATTCTGGTTGGTGGAGTGATGTTCAGACTCTACCTTGCATACCCACATAACAACAAAACTGGTTTCGGGTAAAATTAAGATCTGGAAATTACAAATTTTTATAATACTTTTTTGTATAAATAAATACATAGTTTACTAACATATTTGACCCTTTCATTGAGAAATCATTTTCCTTATAGAAAACGGGAAAATAATTTTTATAAATGCAAAAGCAAAGAAAAAAATATAATAAAATCACTATAAAAGTTTAACTTTCCCATAAATTAACTAATAACACCTGTAATAACTTTGGCCTAGAAAAGCAACACTGACTTTTTGACTTTATTTATTGATGCAGTAACAGTGTGCCATAAATTTATGTTTCTCTCGGTTTTCTTTCATTTATAGCTTGTTGAATTGAATTGAATTGTCATACAAGAATCAAGTTAATTATTTTGTATTAAATAGATCACAGCATAACAAAACAAGTTATTTTTACATGGTTTGGTACGTCATGTCATTTTTTTATAAAGAAATGTGTGGATGACTTATTTATAAAGTTGGAAAACGAGATATTGATTATTATTTTTTTCACTTTCACAAAATTTTTTATTTACTCTAAAATGAATTTTTTTAATGTAATTTTAGGTTTAGGGTTTAGTAAAGTTTTTTTAGGGTAAGAAGTCAATGCAAGTTTCATTTAATAAAATTGCATGCAAAAAAATTGAGTTTTTATGATTATTGAGCATGTATGTGTTAAAAGTATGTTTAAAATGGGATATTAGAAGGTTGTATCGACAATAGCATGGTCCTAACCCTAAATTGCAAACCGTTGCTTACTAGACTTCTACCAAACATGACTAACGTTGGAAATGGATCCTATCTGCTATTTCAAGAAATTATACGAGGATTGGTGTGATTCATGTGTGATCTTTTTTTTTTATATATATTTTTTCTGAGTTACCTCAGTTAATATTTTAAATTATAATTTTTCATCATGTCTAATATTTTTTTAAAAAATTGACCACTTTTTTTTTCTTAAAAAAAAACTTGTACATCAATCAAGCTTATGATTAATTGACTAGTTTGAATGGTTATTGTTATAAAGAGAGTGTTATTAATTGTTCTTCAATAATAGACTAATTTATAAATTTGCCCTTTTTTTCAATATATATTTTAAAATCATTAAAATGAGATTTATCATATAGATCGTTTTGAAAAACTAGTAAAACAAAATTTAAATAACTTATAAATTTTGAGACACAAATTAAATTTGATTATTTTTAATTTAATATGTTTAGTCCATAATTTAAATGTTAGATTAATCGAAAAATAAACTTCATTTTTTTAAACTTATTTTTTACAATAGGGTTAGCCAGGTTTCTCTATAAAAAAAATTACTAACTGAATCGATGGATACAAAGTATCAATAACATGACTAAAGAAAAAAATAGTAAATAAAAAAAATCTTAGAATAAAAATAATAACTAAAAATGTGGATAGCTTTTGAAATTTATATCAATTTTTTTTTAATTCAGAACGACACTAATATAGCAGATAAAAAATAGTTAAAGTTTGTAAAATAAAACAATAATATATCAAGACGTTACTCGACAAAAAAGAAATTAAATACTAAAAATGAATATTGTTGTACAACTTATTGTGGGCCTGATTCTCTGTTAGGCCCAAATCCACTTCTTCTGCTTAAGGACCCAACTAGACCAAGAAAAATACTATGTAAAAGAAGGTAATGAAAAATAAAATAAAATAAAAAAAGTTGTGATATCATAGATTGAGAACAATTTGTTTCCATATTCATTAAAAAAAATGTGAATAATTCCTTGTTCTTATTATATATATATATATATATATATATATATATATATATATATATATATATATATATATATTGGGGATATTTTTAGCACTTGAATTTTTTAAAGTAAGTGCATGCCACGTGTGTATAAATAAAGAAGTTAGTGAAGGTGGAAAATGGTATGATGACCTAACTAACTAAACTACTTTCAAATGAGGAAAAAAAAAAAAGTAATAAAATAATTTATTTATAATTTGTCTTACCCCCAATACAAGACATCTGGCATAGGACGCCACTTACCATCCAATCACAATGCTGTATTACATTTCTTAACCTTCCGTGTCAAACTAATTAATACTAATTAATTGCATCTCCTTGCCTCTCCTTTGCGTTTTAGATTTTCTTAATCACTTTCTTCTTCCATAAGCCATGTTATATTTTTTTCATTAAAAAATAATTGATTATTTTACTGAATTTAATGAAGAGGTGAGGAGTTACGTCACGTTACTTCTTTCTCCATAATCATTTATATATATTATCTCATTACAAACACTAATAACACGTTATTAACTAAAATTTCAACTGTTTTCATAAATAAAAAAATAAATTTGGGCCAATGGACATAGCTGATCATAACCCTTTCACTTGTGTATTTAAATACTCATCCACCTCCAATGAAATCACAAATCCTGCACAAGTGAATTGCAGCGAGGATGATGAGGAAGGGTGAAACGACGTCGTTGGAGTGGGAGCTGAAGAAGCGGAACCAGGAGCTCGAGGAGGAGCTGAAGCAGAGCAAGGAGAGGGAGGACCATGTGAGGCGCCAGCTCCGCGCTGCATTGGATCGCCTCTCCATAGCGGAGGACGCGGAGGAACGCCTCTCCGTGCAGCTAGGTGACCTCGAAGCCGAGGGCCTGCTGCAGGCGCGAGACTACCACGCTCGCATCGTCTCACTCCTAGATCAGCTCTCACAAGCACACTCTCTTCTCAACACCACCATTTCCCTTCCTTCCCTCTCCTAATGCATGTGATTTTTCTTTGTTTGCATGTTCGTGTGCAACGCGTTCATGTTCTTGTGCAGCATGATACCATTACCATGGTGGTTCGTGTGAAATTCGATGATGTATTGTATATATAGGTTCTCTTGTTAAGGTTTGATTTGATGGCTAGTTTCATTTCTGGACTGTGTTTGTTTTCACCAACACTTAACTTTCTGCCAAATTTTTATCATAAATCAAACCGTAATTTGTATAATATATCAAACTTTCTCTCCTAATCTAGGTTAAGAAGAAATAAAATAGAAACACAGTTTTGAATCTGTCCACAAACTTGGGATGATCCAATTCACAAAGCTACAGTCAAACCCATGATTCCAGATATTATGTATGATTATATTACTGTTAAATTATTATTCAGTTGTGGTTGAAAATATTTTCTAATTGATCATTGATACTGTGAAAAAAAATATTCAGATGAAAATGCAATAAAATAAAACTCTTCTTTTTTAGTCAATAATTAATATACTTTTAAAAAACTTTCACATGGGATATTTTTGTATATTTCAGTTGTATGATAGAGTGGATTTGGAATTATAAAATGAATCCAATTAATTAAATATGCGAGTAAATTAAGGGTAAGGTAAACCGGGGCAGAAAAGATTGTGAATTGTTTTTTCAATGAGAGTAGAATAATGGGGGGTGAATGGTGTCCTTGTAATCTCCACCCAATGAGGCAAGGGCTTTAGGTCTTGTCTATGTGAAAGACAAGAATTGGCGGTACTATTTTATTTATATAAGATCCAACAAAGCATTGTCGTGAGTGGAGAAGTGGTCCAACGCATGACCATTCCTCCAAAAATAAAATAAACAAATAAAGTGTGGCATCCTAAAAGAATAGCAATAGCATGTTCATCACATGTCTTACTCTCAAATATTTCCTCCTCACCATCACAAATCATGTCAATGTGCCAATTAACTGCCACCATCATAGTGTGTCACTTTATGAAGTACTTAAGGAAAATGAATGTAGTTTAAAAACTAATGAGAAGATGAATGCTATTTCTCTGTTATTTTATTTTAAGCCTTCTCAGTCCCTGATATGTGATTTAACTGTTGTATTTAACTTATTTGTAGTGCCATCTATGTTCAAATGAGACAGAGCTCGTCACAACTGACTTCATGCAGCTGAAACCAGTTCTAATTGAGGGTAATTTGCATCTACCAACTTCTAATTGGGCTATTATTTCTAGTTGTTCTGCCTTGTTATCATGCATAAATATGGTAACAAATCAAAGTGATCCTTAAGGTAACTGGTGCATGTATGATATTTAAATTGTTAAATAACTGGATGCGCAATGCTACAAAGAAACAGAAGTAGAGGAGAAAATTAAATCACAACTAAACCCACCCAAAATAGCATGGAATAAATAAAGACAGAGAAATGAATCGAAGAAGTGTTGCATTGTTTCTTCTAAATGCCATGAATTGTTACTCTCAAATATTAAATTCGGTTATACATCACATGAGAGTAACTCTTTTAAGGGTTCTCATATTCCTGGCTACATATAACAAATGACTTCATGACTTTTTTTATTCCAAAGATTTTATTTTTTGGATTGTGGGTAAACTGAAATTATGACTAGATGTCTAGTAGATGGCAATTGGTTCTCAATCAGCTACCAACTTGTTTGAGTCTCGAAGAGTAATTTCTTCATTTATTTGTTTCCACAGAATCCTCATGTGTACCACAGTCTCTGCTCACAATTTTCATCTCCTTGTCTTTTTTGTTCCTCTCTTCCTTTCAAGAAACACTTGTGGGATTCTCGTCTGTCATTGGCTCATATCAGTTTCTGAGACTTTGCTGCAAGCACAGAGAGAGTAGCAACAAAGAGAAAGAATGTCACTGGAAAGGGCAAGAGAATATCTGAAGAAGAATGGACCTGCTGCTGAACCTTCTGATCAGGCCATCCAATTGATGGTGGTAGAGGAGGAGAAAATGAACCATTTGGTTTTTTAGCCCTGTGTTGTGGTAATGTAAATGTTTAATTAAGTGTTAGGACTTTGTTTTGCAAATATGTGGCAATAAATTGACAGAGAATGAAGGGCAGTGGGAAGTGATTACATAACCTGTTGCTGTTGGGACAAAAAACAATGTCATATTCAAATGCTTTGCAAATGAAAGTGCTGGTGGCATCATCAAATGCATAGCTATAAGCTTTTGGACAAGCCTGTTTGAAGAGGGTAGAATAATATGATGGCTGGCATGTACTTGGATTGGCAAATTCTCCACTGCAGCAGTACTGATCCGATCCAAATGCCTCACAAGCACTCTTACACCCAACTACACCACCTTGGTATGCATCTCCACCCACTACTTGAAGTTCTTTTGGACAACCTATAAAATTTCATTTTTTGAATTTACAAGTACTCTAATCATTCTATCACATGTGCAGGTTAAAATATATTCTATTCCTTATGCATAGCTTTCATTTTTATTTTATCTGTAAGAAATAATTTAAGCCAATAAATAAACTTTTCTTAAAACAAATTATGCTGGTAGCCCTTTTGTAATTTTTTGAAAGTCATGTGATATTCCTTTTTTTTTTTTCTTAAACTTTACAGGAATCCTCTTATAGAAATCCACAATGCAATGTATTTCTGGAATTCTAACGATTGAGATTATATGCATGTAACTATTATAAAATCCTCTCCCACTCACACTAACAACTTATTTAATGTGTTTGGATTAGTTTTATTATAAAAATAGTGAGCCATTTTTCATGATAAATATAAAATAACAAATAATTTATGGTATCTAACATAGAATTAATTCATAAGTTTGTAATATTTATTTTTCTTCGATAAATATTTATAAATCCCATTTTTTTCTTAGGAATCAAAATTAAGAGTTGTTTATAAATATTAATTTTTCTTTAATGATCAAGAAATATTTTAAAGTTAAAAATTTGATGGATCAGACCTGATTAAAGATAGCGATATTATCATATATCTCTAAACTAAACAATTTTTATTTGGATCTTATATTTTATAATGACAAACAAAAACGAGAAAACAATTTTACATAAAATGATTAGATTAAATTTGATTTCATGTAAGGATGAAATTGAAAATGAGTCATGCAATTGTGTACCTAATGAACAAGGTCATAATTTATGACTTCATTTATTGAGAAGCATCTTACCTCTGTTGATGTCTGTGACACAACCTGTGGCATTACAGACCCCAGTGCCATACACACCTCGTGGTTGAACAAGCAATGGTAAATTGTAGCCATCCACCATGCTGACATCATAGAAGTCTTGTTCATTGCCTTTACCAAGTGTTATCTCAAACAATGAGGTAGGAGGAGCAGCACCATTTCCATCACATTCCAATCGTCCACCACAATCACCTGTTTGACACTTGCCAATTCCTGTTGCATCAAATGTGCAGCCAGTTCTAGCCCAAATCCTTCCTGACCACCCTGGAACACTAGTGAGTTTGATCATCTGGCCCGGGTCCAGTCGAAATCCGGTCGTCGGAAGCGGCGGTGAGCCAGAACCGGAGAGTGTACCAGGCCATATAGTATAAGGGCAGTTATTGGATATGGTGAATATAGAAGAGAAAGAATAAGACAAGAAAGTGAACAAAACAACAAAGAAACTTGGGAACTTCCATGATGGCACCATTGGCATTTTCTATGATTAGTATTATTGCCTATGTTGTGTCCTGGAGGGAATTGATGATGCGTAACTAGTCCTCCCATATTTGTATCAAGAATGTGTGTGCTATGACTTGTGACCAAAACCCTACGTTGCTTTGGTGAAATTCTCAGCCACAATACCAGCTACATGGGTTTAGCATTTCTTTTATTGTGGATGGCCTAATTCAGAAGCTATTCTTTGCCTTTGCTGTTTCATGGGAAATTTAGAAAATAAGGAAACAATATTAATCCATGTGATCTCTATGGAGAATAATGAATTTCTTTCAAATAATCGTGTTAGAAACTGTGATTCCACCATGTAGGAAATTGTTGTATAGGATGATCCCATAAAGAAGTGACCTAGGATTCCTCCTACATAAAAGTACTTGACTAGGCAATACGTAATGGGAAAACTTCTGTTTGAAATTATGCATATTTTTCTTATAGTTCATTATTTCCTACACAGCAACACGCTCGACTACTGTGCAGTGACTTCAGAACATTGACATTTACCAACTATTGACCTTTCATGCGAAGAAAGCAACTACCTTTTCAACAGTGAATTTGACCAAAACTTCTTTAAACACGCTAAATTGTAATCATTGTTTCAATGGGAACTGAGAAAAGGTAACCTTAGGAGATTGACTCCACCCACCAGATTGCTAAAGCCACAAACTTCTGGAGTAAGTTTGTGGAATTTTGGTAATTAACTTTTGATTTAAACAAACTATAGCTAATACTTGTTTTTTAGGTAAATAGTATAGTAATACTGATAATGAAAATATCATATCGTTTAATAAAAAAGGATTTCCAATTTGCTCAGCGGATTTTCTTTGGTGTATGCGTCTGTAATTTTGTTTTTATCCTTTTTGGTTTGTTCTACTCAACTATACAATAGAAAATCCATTTTCGATAAAGAATAGAAACACATCTCTACTGGTAATTGGTTTCGTTTTTTCAAGGCTTTGGAGAGTTTCTGGGTATAATATAAATTATTATATAATAATTAACAAAAATATATTCAATTAAAAATTTGAAAAAAATGAAACTGGAAAAAAATGTGAGATAATGAAGTGGATAGATGGTTATTCTAGAAATCATATCAGTTCCTACCCAAATTTTATCAGAAATAGGAAAATATTTTCCCAAAACTTGTACGAAACATTAAAATGTGAAAATTTCAAAATTACATTCTGCGAAATCTTCATAATATATCTCGAAGTTACTCTCCTTTTATTGCCTCCTAAAATATCATTTCAACACATTATCATATCTCACAATTAGTTTTGAATTTACATTTACAACAATCTCATCACATATGTAGCTCACCACCCTCTCAAACTACAGCAAGTGGGTTGTCATCTGCAGTTTAAATTATCTTGTGATTGGATCTAACACAAAGCCAAGGTTGTAGCAGCAGTGCTGTGTGATAGCACCATTCCCATGAGTCTTGTGCCTCTTACATTCAAGTTGTTTTCTTCCCATAGCCCTTCTTTGTATTTGGAAAGTTTGTTTGTATTTTCTCTCCTCCAACTGCAATTGAACTTATAACAGAGGAGAGACAACACTTGACTACTCAATTATTTAACGAACTCTACCCATAGTTTTACAGTTTTTAATGACTTTTTATCTATAATATAATAAGCAGCGTGCTTTAAAATTTTAAGACTTCTGACATTTTAACTTCTTGAACGATGAATCCACCTACCTGAACAAAGACATTGTCAGAATAAAATTTGATAACAAAGAAAGTATAAAAAGAATAGGTGTTTCCATCATATATGTAAAGTCAGATTGTGATATTTTCCGAGTCCATAATTATAATAATCCTTGAAACTTTCAAAATGAAACTTGTTCACTGTTATCACAGGGGAAATCATTTGCCAATTGATGTTGATGGGTTGGGTGAGAGAACTTAAGTTTCATCTAAATAAGTGAAAACGAATACTAGCTCTAATTTCCTCCAATAGAGTTATTACTTACTATAAAACCTGATCCATTAATCATTAAGAAGATTGCATCTCTTCCTATACATCTAGAAAATCCAAGCGAAAGAATGGAAGAAACTAGCTGCAGCCTATACAAGAACAAGTTTCGCACTAATATCTCCTATAACTAGAAATAATCTAGCAAAGCTACAAATTTACATATTTTCACAAGCCTCTTCTATCATGGTTAAGAGCTGTAACACTACCATACACTAGGTACTATTACAGATAAACTAAGAAAAAAAGGTAAGCCAACCCCCAAACTTAACCGGAGACTCCATCCTCAGAGCGAAAAGGGTGCAGTAAAGTCACAAAGAGAACAAATACCCTCCTATGATTAGAGATTAAAATTTAACCTAGAATTGTAAGACAACTTGTGATTGAACACAAACAAATTGCAAGAAACTGAGAAATCTCAGTCAGAAACTAAGGTCAAATATTCAGTGCTCCAAAACTTTAATTCTTTCGAGATTAGAATTCATGCGATCAGTGTCAGAAGCAGATAATTGACCACCGACCATGAGTTTGTACTGCTCAAATTTTGATTCCTCACACTTCAAGGCAGCATTTTTACAAGCCCTTATACTCCCTGAAACAAAAGGTAAAAAACAAAAGGTTAGTCAAAAAGTAGCATCGTACATAACAGGATTTGAGAATCTCAAATACTAAGTTGAAATATGACTTTCCACGGGGCTAACCTCTCTAATCAATTTTCTCCGATACACACATTAGGATCAAACCAAATAGCAACTTAAAAACCAGCAAAATTACCAGAATTTCTTATCTCTCGTTCAATTCCCACATATTGCCAAAGGAATTCACGAAAACATAATGAACAACTATAAGAATCAACGAGGCAGGATTTTATTTTGTTTACCAGACAAATCCAGCAAGTTAAACACGACCGGACAGTTTCCAATATTTGTGACCATTGTAATGGCAGACCATACTTTCTGATACTCCTCCCTTGATACCCTAATTATACACACATTAGTAATTGGATTCACATACTTAACTGCACACAAAAAACAAAAAAAATGTCAATACCATCAAAATCAATAAAACAGAAATTGTATTAGAATTCACAAAACAGCATGAAATCAAACAAATTACTACTTACCTTGGAATGATCCCAACGAGGAAGCCAAACCACACTCCCCAAAATTCTCCAAAATGCTATCTCTCACAGCTTTGGAGACATTAAACTGTGTAATTATAACAGAATGATCGCCCACTTTTTCTCTATTAGGGTTGAGAAAAACCTCCATCACCATGTATCTGTTTCTGAACGCCACCATGGTGCAAATCGAAGATTCGGATTCCCAGAACAAAAAAAAAAGTAGTAGGAAGAAACAGAAGCCCTAGAAGGTAAGGTCCGATAATTAGGGTAAGGTCTTTTAATGGACTTTGAGAAAACCACGAAGCCCAATTGTGCGCGTGGAGGAGGTGTGGCCCAGTGGCGCGTTCGCAAGAAGTAGTACTGTGTACGGCGAGAACATTGCAGGTGCGTACACGTGTTGTGTTGTTATAGGGCACAAACTTTGGCCGTGTGGCCTTGTTTATCTCTCCTCCTAATCCGCTTTGTTATGAAAATAATTGCGAGTGAATGGCGCATTTAAAACACGAGAGCGGAAAAGATCCGTTGACGTTTTTTCTTTTTTCCATTCTTTAAAGCTATTAAAATTCTAAATTTTAATTTAATAACATGATTTTCTAAAGAAAATTTCACTTGAAATTTTGGATTATATTTTCATTAGATCTTTTTTTTTCATATTTAAAAAGTTTTATAAATTATCCTAATTTTTTTTTGCTGAATTTCTTATGTATAAACTTATATTCTAATTACAATTCTATCGTAAACCCTCAATTCAAATAAAATTAACGAGGACATCGATTTTGTTTAAATTAAAAATAGAAAAAATTAATTAATTTGAAACAAATTGGAGACATAAATTTGAGTTAAATCTAAGTCAAGAAAAAGGATAAGTTGTTACTGTATAACTTTTTAAAATTGGAAGAAAAGATAAGTTTCTATATTCTCAGTAAATTATAAAAATTAATAAAATAATCATGCATTACGAATTAAGATTAATAATTGGATAATAATATAATTTCATTTTTGGATATTTTCTATGGTGCTAATAGAAGAGTCACATGTGTAATTAAATATTATTTTATAAAAAATAATTGATGGGTTGAGAAAGAACGTTGGAGAGTTAGATCCGATAGTTCATCCAAATTTGATGGAGATGGCGCCACCTGACAACACCCGACCCGAGTGTGACATGTTTGCATTTGGGTCACGATTTGCCCGAAATTTTAACGCGCATTTCCGGTAGTTAGTTTTGTCCTAGGTTGGTGTGTGTCCCACAAGTGCACAGTGACCATCAGTACCTGCTTTCTATAAATACCCCAATCCATGTGATTCAAACCTTGCTTATTTTAAATTTTCTAGCTTTGCTTGCTTAGGTTCTACAGAGGAAGAGAGAGTGTTTCGCAGAGAGAAATTTATTTTTTTGTTATCTTTATTTTTTTTTTTCCTTTTGGTTTCTCTTGCATCGTTTTTGTAGGTACTGAGGAACAAGTATTGGCAGCATAACCTTGTTGAAGACCGTGTAAGTCCATTTTCCTTCATTTTTCTCATCTGGGGTTGGTCCACTTTTCATCTTCTTTCATTTAACCAAATTTCCGTGAAAAAACAAATTTTTTTATCTCGTGTATTTTCTGTAATTTGTTAATGAGAAATAATTACTATTCTGGATGTTCTTTTTCATGCAAAATGGTGGGGTTGAATTTGTTTGTGATGGGAATAATTATTGTTGATGGGGTGGTTATATGTGCATGAGAATTGAGAATGATGTGTGCGCACATATTTATTCCTTTCACATGCTCACTCTTATTGTTTCTTAACTCTATCATGCACATATTCACGCCTAACAGGGGCTCTAAGATGCTTAAATGTGGATGGATAATTAAATTTTCGTGGTGGTTGTGTTAATTGTCATGTCTTATTTTGTTTTGGGGATCTTAATTGGCCTCGATTTAGATCTACCTCATGGGAATATTCAATTTGTTTGGCCTCAGTATTAATGTTCCTTGTGTTATTGTCACGGAGAGGTTGTAAATAAATATACGCTTTTTGAATTAGAAATTTAACAAAATTCCTTTTTTAATTTGGCCTTTTTTCTGAACTGCTAAATTCCATTTTTGGCTATGCTTGTTAAGTTTTTGTGCTTGGTTTTCCTGTCTTCATAGGATGTTTCAGTATGGATTAAGATCTAACCTAATTGATGAAATCAGTTTTGTTATTTGACATAAATGTTAGAGCCATTCTCTGAAAGGGAATGTGTAGTACATAAGAGTGTGGAGTTTGATTATTGTTGAGGAAATTACTTTATGATATAAGGTTGGTTGGTTATAAAAGGTTAAAGTCTTAAATCTCTTAGAACCAATCAAGTGAGTTTCTGTTGAGTTTGACTAAATTATGTATTGTTGTGGTGGGCCCTGCAGAAAAATTCAGGCAAGGCCGTGGAGTTGGGGAGTATTAGATTGGAATCCTAGAAGTTTGTGTTTTGACCGAAGGAATGGAGGTATATGGCAAATCTATGGTTGCAGCTCCTTCAAATGTTATTTATCTGTCAAGTATTTTGGGCCAAGATGGTCCAGTTCCCGGTCACAGATGCAACTCGAAATGTGAAAATGAACATGTTTGTGGAAACATGTATCGCTGCAAGCTAACGGGGCTGACTCACATTTGTGATAAAAACTGTAACCAGAGAATTCTGTATGATAACCATAGCTCACTTTGCCTAGCAAGTGGTCAAATATTTCCCCTTACTCCAGCAGAGGAACAAGCAGTGAGAGGTGTTCGCAGAAAGTTTGATGCGGAGAATTCGCCCTCTGAGAGCTGTGGTTTTAAGCGTAGACGAGATGCTCAATTCCATCCTTCTCCTTTCGAGAGATCTTTCACTGCTGTCAGTCCTATCTGCAGCCAAGTTGGAGATGGCATGGATATGAATTAGATATCTATTATATAAATGAAAAAAAAAAGACTCTTTATCATTTTTCTTGTCCCTTTGAAGTTTTTTTACTTTGTCTATCGGATGAGTATCCATAACAGAACATGAACAATTATGGATTATTTATTGGTGGACATGATGTATCCCCATCTGTAGGAAGAAATCCTTATATTTCTAGTATTAATGTAATGTAGCCTTAAAAGTAGCATGACTGTTGAATGGGGATTTGGGCAGGTTCTTTCTACGTGCAACACATTTTTATGACACTTGAATTGACTTCAGTTTTCTTCTAAACCTAGTAAGAAGCTGACTGTCATAGCTGACTACAGGATGTATTCTGGTCTTTCATTGCTTGAATTTGATTCAGTCCATTTGAACCTCATTGATGGATGCATATATGAGAAATGTACTTAACCATAGCCCTTTGTTAGCTGACCATAAAGTTTCTAGTGTATCTGTAATCAGACAGCGGCCCTATTAATGTACTCACTGCTATTGCTACTGTCATAAGCTTGTATTCCTTAATTCTGTATGAAAAGGAAACATTTATTTAGTCACAGGGTCATATGGATAACCTTCACTTCTGTAGACTGAGGTTCTCTCCAGTTTGTCATATGAACAAAGTTGTTGGTATGCCATCTGGCGATTTGATTTTGGGTTTGCTGCTTGACTCTTCCTATTTCAATTGCAGTCTCAAGGGAGACGATCTAGTTCACATTTTCATTTGTGTTATTCACTTTTCTTTCTGTGATTTGATTTTAATAGGTGCCTGTCTGAGGTTACTGTAACTTGTGCAGGTTTTGAAGCACATGCTAGGAAGGAGCGTTCAAAACATTTGTCTTGCAATACTGAATTAACTTTTATGCTATAGAACTGTTCTATATTATTGCATCAATTATTGATAAATGCCTTTGTTTTCTTGAATGAATGCAGACATTGCAACTTCTGCTCGTGTCTTGCTATCGGGAAGTTTGGAGATACCAACAATCCTGTACTACAGAAAGGGGTACGTATCAGCAGCAGCATCAATGTTGAAAAATTGCACATTGTATTCGAGGATTGAAAGTAATATAACGTGGGATTGAAAATGAATTCGCTTCCAAAATTTATACTTGTGATAGGTACTAGGCAGATGTAGTTAATCTATAATTTGGTTTATTATAGGCAGATATAGGTTTTGATTCTGATATTTGTGAAGCTAGAGGATGTAATGTAGCCTTCATTTTCCAACTTCTGGTATCCTTATTAATAAGCTAAATATGTAAATTAGGTTTGAATTTTATCCTTCACTGGGCTTCTTTTTACCTGCAAACTAATTCTTGTCATTGGTAAAACTTTGCTGAAAACTCTCAAACTTAAATTCTTTAGGGTCATCATCTTTCCGTTCTTGGATTGAGAGTCAAATTTGTTTCATTGTTTTGGTACACAATACATAACATCTGTATCAAGCTCATGAGTTGGGCATCAATATGATCTAAAGTAATAACTGTCCCATCATAATTACTTAACAAAATTTCAAGCACTGTACTTTTAAATTCTTTTACAATTACAACAATAATAAGCTCAATACCCCTTCAAGTTGGTTGACGCAGGAGGACTTTTGTATTCACATGGTATGAAATTGAGTAGTAATTGGATCCAATTCAACCAGTTACTGATGATTAATTATATCACGTGACAACTTAATAAAATAAGTGAAAAAGAATATGACACTTTTTACCTAAATATAAAAATAATAAAAAATATAAAATAATAAAAAAACGTAAGAAAATGTTATATTTTAGAAGTAATTTTAAAAAAATTATTTTATGATAAAAAAATATTATATATATATATATATATATATATTAATCTATATATTATTGAAATAAAATAAGATTTTAATTTTAAAATATTAATTTAGTAAAATATTAATTTAGAAGCATTTCATTTAAAAAAATTATTAATAATTATGTAAATAATTTTATAATCGTACAAATATTTATTCTTATTTTTTATTTATTATTTTTTGAATAATTATTTTTTATAACTTTTTTTTCTTTTTTAAATCAATTTTCTTTCAAATAATTAAGTATATATTTTTACTTTATTTTATTTATTTATTTTCTTTCATTGGTTGTTACTTACCCTTAAGCATAAGATGACAGAAGGAAATTATAAATTTTAGGGACAAATTTTCCATGATTTGGGAGCAGCCACAATTAGGAAGTCTTAGGTATTATATTTAGTCCACTGCTACGCTTGCCCGCTAATACATCTTTTTTTCATTTTTCTAGGTTTTAAACATTAAAAAAAATTCTAAAAATAATATATTTAAAATTTTTTTTATTAAAATAAAATCTACATAAATTTATTTATTAAAGACTTATTTATTGTTCATATATAATTTTTCTTTTCTTTTTCTCAAAATTTATTTTTTATTTCTCTTTTTTCATTCACTTCTCATTTTTTTTTCTAATTTAGGTTTCTTCTTTTTCTCAATACTCTTCTTAATTAAACTACTATTATAAATATTTTAAAAGTAACATTGAAACTAAAATAATATTAACTAAATATTTAAATTATGAAGATATTAAATAATTTTATTTATTTTGACAATGAATAATTTTATTTACATTGACATAAATAAATAATTTAAAATTATTTTATCATAATAATTACTCGTTTAATTAAAAAATATTAAATATCTATAATTTAAAAGTATTTTCATTTAATATTATAATTTAATTATAAAAATTAGGTAATTTAAAAAAATATTTATTAAAAAATATTTTAAAATAAATATTTAATTTTTTTAATAATTATAATATATCATCTCAAATTTATTATATAATATTTTTTCTTTTATAATATATAAGATTGTAGTGTTATCATTTCAATATTTTTATTTTTCAATAATAATAAATGACTCATTTTATCAAATTTCAATATAATATTTGTAATATTTCAAATTTATCATATAATATTTTAAAAATATATAATATATTAAAGTATATTATTTCTGAATTGTTTTAAAAAAGACAACAATAAAAAAAAGCAATATAATCTATTATTTTTAATTGGACAATAAGATAGTGTGAGAGAAGAATATGAGAAAAAAAAATATCAAAAAAATATATTTTTTTCATATTAAATTTTGTGTATAACTTGAGTAAATAAACTTAAAATAATTCTATTTAAATAATTTTTTTAAAATATATTATTTATAATATTAATTCATTCGACTGTTATATTTGGTCATAATTGAGATAAATTATATATGATAACGGTCCGACTAAAAATTAACTTATATAGGTTAATAGATTAGTAGATATTTGTTATTATTTATTTTATTTAAAATTATCATATATATATATATATATATATTATTATAAGAATAAATATTAAAATTTTTATTATTAATTAAAATTTTTATTAAATAAATTAAAAAATTATTATATTTATCTATTAAAATAATTAATTACAATTAATAATTTAAATTATAATAATATAATATATTATAATAATATAATAAATAAAATTACAATTTTTAATTATAATATTTTTTATTTTAACTTTAATATATAAATATTTAAAAAAAATATATCTGTCTCATCCTTAATCACTCGATTAATAAATTAGACAAAATAAATTAAAATAAATTCAAAAACTAAAATTATCAATTCATTCTCCAATTTTAAAATAAATTATCATACATAAACCATTTTATCATTCAAATTATCTATCTTCACCTTTAGGCAAGATGCAACAGTACAAGAGGCACGTCATGAGTAAGTTTTTCCTTTTGTTCATGCAATATTATTATTTTAGGGTTATCATCTTATTTTAATTATATACATTTTCCTACACCTATCTTACACTTCTCTCCCATCTTTATCTATACTCATGCAAATTTAACACTTTAAAACTATGCCAAACTACAATAAACCCTAAACCATTGTGCACTTTTTTTTAGGATATCTCTAAAAAATTAATACTTTCTGAACTTTTTAAAACAATAAATTACTTTAAAAAATGTAATTAAAATGAGACAGTACTCTTTCTTGAAAAATAAAAGACTATGCAATGTGAATGACAAGTTTCACGATAAGCATTAACAAAAAAAAAGAAATTAGACGTAACCAAATTAAATAACTCCACCATTAATTAAAAATATCCATTAACATAAATGAATCATGGGAACATATATTTTAATTTATGGATTTGGATTAAGCAAAATCCTATCTTGCCGTTTAATCAAGAAATTAAAAAGTCAAAATCCAAATGCCAAAAGTAACTTCAAGCTCACTCCAATAATGCTCAAAATTTAAAATAAAAAAATGATGGTAACAATTTTTTATACAACACTATATATGCTTTTTAGAGAAATAATGTTATTCAAATGGAATAAGATAATTATGAATTATAAATACCTTTTTTTCGATCTTAACACTATTGCATATTTATACTAGTTTGTTTATAAATATTGGGTGATTATCTTGTCCAAAATTTGTTATGGTTAAAAAAAATTAATAATGTTAAGTGAAAAGGAATATTTCATTTCGAGTAAGTAAATATTATATATATATATATATATATATATATATATATATATATATATTTCTTTTTCTTTAAGGGTATATTTTTTCATACAATAAATACATATCTATATAAAATCCAAAATTTTAAAATTTGACTATAATGGAAGTACAGTTCAACCTCCTAAACAATCATTTATTACTTTGCTAAGTAGTTTCAAAATATATATTTTACGTTTTATTGAAAAAAATAATAATTAAACATCATATATTTTAAACACAAAGAAAATATTTGTTTATTATTAAGTATATTACATATTGAAAAAAAAAAGCTTAATTTTAATATTTGTATTTTTAATTAAGACTTAACGATAAGTTATTCTTTAAATAGAGTATATGAATTCAGTACACAGTCTTATTCAATCTTGTTAGTGATTAATTTTTTTCCCTAATATATGACAGTTTATTATCATTGCTCAAACTCGTAACTAACAATTAAAATTAAAACCAAACCAATTTGTCTTGTCTTAACATTTGAAATGATTTAATAATTTTTGAATTTTAAATAAAAAACAATACTATTTTATATAAAGACAGTAAGTTATAGTTATTTTCTTAAATAGTGGGTATATATTTTTCTTCACGCAATAATATTGTCCAAATCCAAATTCCAAAAACTTATAGATACTTCTAAACTCCAAAAATATATATATGAAAACAAAATTAACAAATATTGAAAGAGTTTTAGAAAAAAATTAAAAGGCTAAAACATCTCAAATTTAAGATATAAGAGTTTAACGTTAAATAGTGTTTTATTATTATTTAAGTGAGAGCAATTATGAACAGCAATATTTTTTTCTAACTAAATACTATTTATTCATAATTTAAACTCCATAATATTCAAAAGAGAGTTGTTAGGAGAGTTAGTTAAAATAAAAATAAATATTTTATTATAAATTTTATGTCTAAATAGATAAAATTATTTAAAATTTTAAAAAATTTATTTATATAAATAAGATTGGTCAAAATTTAAAAAACTTGTTGGAATCATAATAAAATATTTATTTTTATTTTTAAATAACGGTTAAAAACTCTTTATTGATATATTAATTTAAACACCATTATTATGATTAATGAAACGGACTTGTATCAGTTACAATAATTACTCAAACATTTGTAAGGATTCAAAAATTTAAGACCATAAAAAAAAATGTAACAAAAAAATTTGAATACAATAAAAACCATTAATTTTCTTAAACGTATATTTGAACATAGTTAATACAGTGATTAATATGAGGACTCTTAGTGGGTTGGGTTGGATGAAATTGAGAATGAGAAGTGGGCCCCACTATTTCTTCTGGGAAACAACATTGGTGAGTAGCAGACACAGCATGAGCAGAAGAAGGTTTGACATTAGCATAAAAAGTGGAAGAACAAACACGAAACAATTGAAAAGGATAATGAAATGAAAGGTAGCATCAATATTGAATATACATCACCTGAATTTATTTATCAATTTTAAATTTTGCCAGCCACAATCCAATGCCATGTGTTTGTTTGGTGAGGGTGTGTGTGCATGACATATAAACACCCCCACGTTGAGATTGTTCTATATAAACCAATTTTAATTACTCTCTTCCCATACACACACGGCAATACCCGTGTAGAACTTCCCCTCTCTTCACAATCTTCAATCTTCCATCATCACTTTTCATCTTTCCTCATAATCGGACAGAAATTGGCCACAAAAAGGGAAGAGATAAAGGAGATCAGATTCAATCTCCAAATCCATTTTGTGTTCTGCACTCGTATTTCTGTCTCTGCTGTGCAATTTTCCTTTGGTTTGTTTCTTAGATAATTTACACATTGGCGTTAAATGGAAAAGAAATTCCTGGATCTCATATTAGTCCCTAGTGGCCTCCTTGTGATGTTGGCATATCATTTCTGGCTCCTCCACCGAATCAAGAAACACCCCACCAAAACAGTCATTGGTGTCAATGCAATCAATCGCCGTTTCTGGGTCCAGGCCATGATGGAGGTATGTGCACATGTTCTTCTCACATTGGGTGCTCAAAAGTTTCGATTTTGATTCTTGGGTTTTCGTTAATTTCAGCAATTATGTTTCTGGGTTCAAACCAATTAACTCCACACTCTTAATTGGACGTGAATTTCGAACATAACAAATAGTTACTTTTGGAACGTGTTTGATGCTGCATCATGATGTCAGAAATCACAGAAACCTGTTTCTGCTAATTTGCGTTATAGTATATAACGTGAAATAATCGTTGTAAACGTGAAATCTGAAATCACAATCAAACACCAAACACCAAATACGTCTTTTGCTATCATTTTAAAGTAATTATTGTGAAAATCAATAATGTCCGGGAACATGACACACGAGATTAAATGGTTATGTAATTTTTACATGTTCATGTGTACTAATATTGATTTTGGATGTATGATGTGAAGGATGTATCGAAGAATGGGGTTCTAGCAGTGCAATCACTGAGGAACAACATAATGGCATCGACCCTTCTGGCTTCCACAGCCATAATGTTGAGTTCGCTCATTGCTGTGTTGATGACCAGTGGCAACGAAAGGAAAACCGTGGTGTCTGAGGTTTTTGGGGACAGGAGTGACCTTGGTCTGTCCATAAAGTTCTTCTCCATATTGGTGTGCTTCTTGTTGGCATTTTTGCTGAATGTGCAGTCCATAAGGTACTATAGCCATGCAAGTATCCTAATCAACGTGCCCTTCAAGAAAGTGTCCACAAACCTTAGGCACCAAATGCTCACAGCTGAGTATGTTGCCACCACAGTGAACCGAGGCAGCTACTTCTGGTCCCTTGGCTTGCGTGCCTTCTACTTCTCTTTCCCTCTCTTCATGTGGCTCTTTGGACCAATTCCAGTCTTCTTCTCTTCCTTTTCCCTTGTTTTCATGCTCTACTTCTTGGATGTTACATATGAGTCTGGATTTGCTGGGGTTTCTGACACTGACAATGCTGAAGTTGTTGAACTGAACAAACACCCTGTGGATGTGGAAATTGGAAGGGATAATTAGATGTTAAAGTAGGTTAAGTTGTTTGTGGTTGTAGGTGGTACATGATTAATTAACATTTGGCTGATTTTGTTATTGGTTGGCATGTAGGCTAGTAAGATATGTGTAACTGCACCCCTTCTCCAATGTATTTGATGATAGAAATATTGAAGATTCAAGTTCAACTCAATTTGAATTTGGTTGCATGTAAACTCCATTTCAGAACACTTAGATTGGTAATAACAGACCAGAGAGATATGTTTTGTTTTCTCTTTGCTCTGTTTCACTGTTTTGTATAAGCTAAAATCCTTACATCACAACTCATTTGGTTCAGGTAGAGGATTTTTTTTTTTTTAAAGAAAAGTTTGCATAGAAAATAATAAATTTAATAATAAAATTAACAAGAAGCTCCTATTATTTCCAAGAGGTGCGTATTGAAAATAAAAAATAATTAAATATATAAATCATTACACATAATATTAATTTTTTACATTATTGATTTTGAGACATGTTTGGGAAGAAGTTTCAATTTACTAGTGTGTGAAAATGCCCTAGTACGGACATGTACAATTCAATCGTTTTCAACCTTGATAAAAATTACTTTTTTTTTCGTTGAAGTATGCAATTTAACTGCTACTAAATAAAGGAAGTAATACTAATGTAAAATTAACGACTTTTTTATGAAATTTATTTTTAATTCTTATAAAATATGTGAGTTTTTCATTAATTTTCATTTTATAATTTTCAAGACTAATTTTAGGTAACACGTTATGTTAGAATACTAAATTCCCTTGCTTAAATTACTCATTTAATATGTCAGTGTCATAAAAAGTGATATTCTTTTTAATTTTAAAGAAATTAAAAGAAAAGAAATTTTTTTACAAATCGAAAATAAAATCTGACTCATTTACATATGCTTAAAACATATTAAAGATATATTCTTAATAAAATAAAATTTAATAGTGTTAGAAACTGTTCTGAGTATTTCTCTTGTGTGAATTGAGAAAAAAAATGTATTCAATTTTGATTTTAAATGAATTAAGATTAAAAAATATTTTAATTTAAATTAACAGTGGGCGTAATTTTTATTTATCACTTTATAACGTTTTTTATAGAATTCAATTCTAAATTATGAAATTAAAATCCAATTCTTGAATTATAATCCACATATGCTATTCTCTTCTATGTTTATATATATATATATATATATATATATATATAGGAAAAGTTGTTAATTTTAAAGACAAATTCCTGCACTGCACTAATGAATAAATAATCCAATTTGTATTGTTCATGTTGGGACAGTTTCTAATTTTGTGTGGGTCATTGTTTTTAGCTTTTTCACAGGGACAAAGAGTATATTCAACACCATTTGTTCATTACCTAAGAACACTCAAAGTCAACATCAAATGGAGGCAAAAAATAGAATCCTTTCCACCCTTGTCCTTTAACTCTACATGTAAACTCAGGCTAAAATTCATGTGTTCTTTTTCTGCATAACTACAATTTAACATGAGTACCACTCAAGTTTTTCATAACAGTAAATCAGACAGAGAGAACAAAAAAGAGACAAGTGTACGATAAAATAATGATGCGATGTTAAAACATTTACTTGTTTTAGTGAATGTATGTTACATGCCACTACCTATTGTGGGGATTTGCTGCTTGGTACTGTTGCAGGTAATGTTGTATAATTTAGAATATTCAAGTGTTCCTCAGTTTGAAATTTAAAACTAATTGCCTCAAGTAAATTATTTAAATCTATTCATTAGTGGTGTATGATGCAGAACAAATAAACAATGCCGCAAATTACAACGGCTAGTACAAAAGTAAATTCCATTAGTGGTGTGTGATGTAAAGCTGGAATACCTGGTTATGTTCAATATTCTTTAGGAAGCCAAGTCAAAACATAATGCAAATTCAGAATAAAAAGTTTTCCACTATCTAATTGGTTTGTGGAAAAAGTACTGACGTGACTATTACAAACTAACACAACTCAACTGAAAAAGTCTTGAGCTTTGTGGAAACAAAAGAATCTGATTACAATCTTGCCCAAATGGAAAAAAAATAGTAAAATTAAAAGCTTTTATCCTAAAAATTACAAATAATATTTAGCAACACGACGTGCCATTAGCAGTGGCATGAACACAAGCTTAGTTTATTAAACTCGTTGATCTTCTTTCAACTACACATTAGTGCTTGATGAATAAAATTCCACCAAGTTGGTGGACGTTTTGAATTCAAACATCTTTTGCATTTTTAATTTGATCGACCCTTTTTATTATGATGATGTCAAGTAGGTAATTGTTCTCCAACTTGGCCATTTTTTTAACAAAATGTTTTTAAACCTCGGGTCCATTAAGTCTACTGCATTCATGCCTAGTCACAACACAACTTGCAATAGCCACAAAATTACTCCTTTCTTTACCTGACAATACCACAAAAAAAAATCATAACTAAATCATTACATGTGTTTTGGACATGCATTTGAGACATGCATTTGAGAAGGTAAAAACCACGTCTATTTCTTAAAAAAACATAAAAACTTACTAGGTTGCTTATGAAAAAACATCCAATTCATACATTTTGATGCAGAACCAAACACCCCATGCAAAATTGTGTTGGAAAAAAGAAAATAAGTTTTTATACATCAAATTTGTGTCTTTACTGCACTCAACCTTTCTGAACCACAAGGATAGTTTGCACAAAATCCTAGATTCTAAGTTAGTCATAGTCATTGTACTATATAACAAATAAAGAAGTCTTTCTACAGTCACGCCATGGTCCCTTTTCATTAATTGATTTTAGAGGGTGGGGGCATGGAACGTGTTTTCTTAGTTAAAGGAATCGAAGCACATAATTGGAATCCGTTGGTATCTTCAAGAGAGAGCAGGGACATTCCACCTCCATCATTGCCAAAATGCCTATAATAGATAATGCAAACAAATGGGCTCTGTTAAATTAAGTAATGAGTTAATTTCTACAGATAATACAATCAGCAGAAGTACCAAAAAACAAAGGGCACCTAACAAATTCTCAAAGGAGGGTTCATTTCTATATAAAGTGAAAAGAAACAATGGGTTAAATACCTAAACCATACCTGTCATTGTTCTTTCCACCAAGCAAGCTCCATGAGATGCCCATAACTTTCTTTAACTGAAATGCTTGTTTTTTTTTTTTTTTTTTTTTTGCACAGCTTTAATCGGTTCTGACAAGACAACCATAAAAGGGTAATGCTTCTTTATTTCAAATTGCTAACAGCTTAAGTTGTTTAATTTGCATTACAGTCTAAAGATAACTTTATATGCATCATCAAGAAAAATGTACCTTGCATAATTAGCACGCCAACTATTTGTAATGCCAATGACATTGCAAAACTGTGTTTCTTGATACATCCGGATAAATCTAGCAACTGAAGTTTCTGAAACTGAAAGTCCCCCCCACGTTTGTTTCACGTCACGTCACATCATATGATAGCAGTTTAAATGCACATTTTCCCTTTTAAAGGGCATACAAATAAGTTAAAAAGAAATTTTGAAGTTTTAGAGGGTAAGGGGCGTTAGAGATGAAATATAAAAGAATAAAACCATTTGGATGTCTTTCACCTATCAGATTAATCTTTTGGGGATATAATTTGTTCATTACATAGCCTATGACCAAATTGTCTAGTGTTCGATCCTTACATCTTTATTCTTCCAATAAGAAAAAAAGTTAAAGATTAAATATAGGTGGGCTTGTGCTTTATTTAGCTTTGATCCCAAAGGTTTCTCATTTGAGCTAGCATTTGGGACTGTTGGTTCATCACAACCATGGGTGATATAATGACCCAAGTTCGTGGAACAGTTCGTTAAGTCTACAGACCTTGTGGATAACGAACACTTTCTCTAACTCGTGGACTTTATGGAATAAATTTCTTTTAAGTTAATAGATTTTTCATTTTTTTATATTATTATTGGGGTCGAAGAATAAGTCTGTTTATCCACGGATTTTTGTGGACCCTATATGGACAAAAACAGACCATTTATTTCACAAACCAAGGCCCATCTATACTTAGTGGCGCAGTTCAATGCACTGCTCTAAAAGAAGAAATTATACAAAATCAACTTTTAATTCTCGAAACTATGCTTTATAATTTCTGTTAATATATGGATTTAAATATGGTGCAGAGTTAGAAAAAAAGGCACACCATTTGATCCTATGCACAAAGAAAACGCTTACTCATTTATGACCATGGCCAAGGTTTCCCCACTTCTATGATATTTGAATGTCAGTTAGTTTCAGCTTCAACTTCATGATTCCAGCTTGAACTACAATTTCTCCTTTGGATGAATCCACTTTTAAAACAGTCACTTTTTTCCCAAGGGAAGAGACATGAACCATATCACCAACCTTAGGAGGCTTGGACTTATCTGCAACATTAATAAGGTGAATGCCATTTGCATCAATATTCCCGTAATATTAATCCCCATTATAAGACTAGAAGAGAGCACAGTTTTAGTGTGTGCTATCAAACTAGAGCTTTACACTTAATTCCGATGCAAGAAATTTAATATCTTTCCATTATGTTTGGACTTATCTCATTACAGTTTGGTTTCCCTGTATTTCCATTATGTTTCATTATCTTTGCATATACCTGAACCTGATGATGATTGTTTGAAAACTTTTACAGCAGATGTACTTCTATCAGCAACAGTAGGTACTTTGTTATCTGCTGCAGTTTGGCTTTTGTTGGTTGCTGAAAAATGAGAGCTGCTAATAGTTTTTATGTTTTGTGAAGGTTGCTTCGCTGATGCGTCCAATTCCCTCACTTTCTTGTGAAGGATGGACCTTGCCATTGCTGCAGCCTCAGATACATCTCTCATCTTCTTAAATCGTATATTAGTACTATGTTTCATGATCTTCCTTCTTGCGTTCAACAGACTATTGTAAAGTCCTCTAGAGTTCCTACAATTACAAACAAAAGAAAAAAAAAATTCCAATTAAAAATTTACTGATGCTCCATCCAAGGTAAGATGGATCTTGTTAATAATTATCTGGAGCAAGGTATGGTGGATCTTGTTAATAATTATCTTCAAGAATTAATTATACCAGCCAAGACAAAGGAGAACTGCATTACCCAGTGGCATGATTCAGTAAAGAAAATTATGTCAATTACAAAAAATTAGTGCACAATTAGTCATAATAATACAAGAAATGGGAAGATGATATATTAACATTTCTTCCCCCCACCTTTCTCATTCTTCCAATCTGATTAGACCCTACTAAAGAATCTGAATAAGTTTATTAGGATTATATTTCCATAATAAAAAATTTCACGGAATGGATTATATATGAGTACTAATATATAGCTGGGTCAAAAAATACTAATATATAGCACAGACTCTTGCATTTAATACTAATTACTAATAATTACTTTGTCACTAATATATGGTTGGTTCAATGCTCTGATAAATGAATCCTCCATCGTTAACAATGTTTCCATCCATTGCATAGAAGAGAACACAACTTACGAAATTTACGGATGATCAGTCTAACGCAAACTTTCTCCAGTTATTAAAACAGAGGGATGATAGCCATGTTACAGGTATTGAGAATTCTGATAATAACTAAAGAAAAAAAAAATACTAACAATCAAGAACTAAAAGCAAGATGCAAATATGATTACATGATTATTTTTTTTTTCCTTAAATGCATTAACAATTGAATGAGCTTACTCCATTGTCTGTTAGATACATAAATTATTGCTGATGTTTATAAACAGGAAATGACCTCTCTTTCAATTGTGCATGAAATGCAAATATGGGAGATAATAAAACTTGCAATGAATTTAATCTTTTTTTAAGGAAGAGTCTCACATCAGATAATTACGCGCTTCATCCATCAGCACTTTGGAATTTTGTTTTAACCTTTCCATATCAGTTATTACCTACATGAAAAATGAAATATGATGAAACAAATAAAATACTTATAATACATTCAATGAATTACATCTGATATCCCTGAAAAAACTACCGTAGATGCAATACATGCCAATTTATTTGTTTAAAAAAATATCCATTTTAGTAACAAGTTCAAGGCCAAAAACAATGGTCTAATCATTACTTAAAATTTAAAACAATAATATAAATAGACATCATATTCTTAGAATATCATATACCACCATTAATAAATAATAAATATAATTAAGATATATTACAAATTACACATACCTCATCTATCTCTGCACTAGCAGAACCATACAACTTACGAGCAGTATCAACAACAACAGACGGTAGTCCCAACCTCTCAGCTATATTTATTGCATTTGAGCGCCCTACAATGAAAATCTCTTTTCGAGTTATACACATTAAGTGTCTACTACATCTGTCTATAATTTCAAATGGGTCCATGAAATGTGAAATTTCCTGTTAAGAACACAAAATGTAATACATTGCTTCTCCCATAATATACCGCAAACATAACTTGAAAACTGGACATAACTAGTTAAACCAGAAACTGCACCGTCCGCTGGTTCGGTCCAGCCTTTCAAATTATTAGAAAACTTACCATTGAACTGCAGAACTAGGTGCAAACCATCTGAATATTACAAAGGGGTCATCATTTAGTTGTAAACAATTAAAACTTTAGTTTAGAAACCATCAATTAATCGCTGAACCAGATGTAAGTCATTCTGAATTGTAAGAACCACTCATGGTTTAGTTGATGACCACTTCAAGCAATTTTTCACCCAAAACATTAAATTTCTTCAATTGAGTATCATACCTTGGTCTTCAAGGATTGGAGACGTTCTGACGTTTTACCATGTTTTCTTACCATTGCTCCGCTAACCTTTGTCATTTGCTGTGTAAATTCTTTATAACATAATGTGTATTTAAAATTAGTATGTATTTTTTTACTAATGACATTTACTTACATTTATTTCTCAATTCAGATCTAACCTAACTGAACTTGTTATGAATACATGTTAGTTTATTCTGTATTATATTACATTATTAAAAAATATATTTAACTATTATTGGTTCAGAGGGTAAGCTTTGTCGTGTAAGACTGCTACCTTATGACACGGAGATCATGGGTTCAAGTAAAATGAAACAACTTCACTTGATGGAATAAAGTGATAACCTCATCCAATTGGTCACCCTTTAAATTATCATAAGTTTGACCACTGTTCATTTACGGTTGAATTAGGAACTGGTGTCTTCATGATTGCCACCACCAGTTTGGTTTTGATAACATTGCCAAAGAATCCTTCACCTCATTCATATCCTGACTTCAGATTGTGAAGCGATCAGATAATTATGATTTCTATAGACTCAATAAATTTGTACTTTTGTTAGGATAAGAAGTAGATAACTGTCAACCATTATTTAATGTCAAGATTTTGTAAGAAAATATTTCAATAACTATTTTTTGTTAGCAAACAAATGATACCTTCTTATGGTATGCAATGCACTGACAGAACCTTTTATTTTATTTCAGTCAAGAAGGACTGTAATTTGCTATGCAAAAATTAAATGTGTAATTCCATGTGAAAATGATGTCCCTAGCTACTTGCTTTTAGGTTTATCCCTTCATTCTGATCCATCCTTTTGGGATTGTAATATACGAATTTGATGCTTCAGATGAACACAATACACACAAAGGAAGGAGATGAATCAAAACATAACACAGGGTATTTGAAAGCAAGTGAAAGGAAATAAGTTTTTTATTCATGAGTCTAAGAGTGTTACCTGGTACACCCCAAAGAATCTTGTAAGTTGGCTTCAAATTCACTTCATCAAACTCCATACATGCATTTTCAAAGGCCTCATTACTGCTCATGAATAAAACAACGATGTCAAAGCAAAGCTAGAGGCTACTGTTCTGTACTTTTCATGAGAATACAAGTAAAAATGATCATATATTTTAAATGCATTGAAGAAAACATGCATAGAAAACAAGCATCCGAACAATAGATTTAATCTAATTTTGATCCATTTGCACGGAAGTTCAGAATTATCTGTGAATTATAATGGTGTCACTTGCTTAAAGAATTAAAAACTTTTAATACTAATGACCTTAGTTAATTTAATGATGTGGGCTTTCTTATTTGTTGATAGTGTAGAAATTGAAGTGGCAATGAATCAAATTTAGATATTTGCACTGCACCCTAAAAAAAGAAGATATTACATGCCGATTAGTCTAAACAAATTTGTTTCCAATATTTTCATTATATTTATTATATTGTTTATCTTTTTCTATTTTACATGTGAAAATAATTTCATGCAGTAAATCTAAAATCAATTTTTTTTAAGCTGTTCTCATCTGTAATGACTACCTGTATTTTAAAGTTTTCAATTCACCATGATGAGTTGTAGCCATAGTCAACAAACAACTGTCATGGGCAAAAGATTCCAACAATGACATTCCTAGTGCTGCTCCTTCGAGAGGGTTTGTTCCTGCACCAACCTAACAATTGCAAAGTATTATCCATTATGCACATATATGCCATTACAAATTCGAGCTGTTCATTAAACTCAGAAAATACATGCCTCATCTAGTAGCACTAGAGACTGGCTTGTTGCCTGTAATTTAATATGCTGCAACGTAAAATTAAAAAATAAAATAAGATTTTCTTTAATATTATAAAAATAATAAAGTAAACTTACGTCACTCTTACTATAACATGAAAAAAATCAACATTTAAAGTGTACTGATAAAACTAAACTGAAATGATTGTAAGTCACTCAATTTCATCTTAGTTTTGTTCAGTGATGAGATCTTCTTGGGAGTTGAGGAGACAGTGGCCCCCAAAGTAATGTAATTTATAATTTTGGCCCCCAAACTTAATGATCATTTAATATATTTACTTGTATATTTACAATTTTATCCTCTCAGTCTCTTCTCGGTTTTGTAACTCTCATATAATTTATGATTTTGCCCCCAAAACTTAATGATCATTTAATATATTTACTTATACATTTACAATTTTATTCTCTCACCCTTTCATCTTCTTTCACCCTTTTATATTTATTTATTATTTTTTAATAATATATTATTTGGCCTCCCAAAATCAATGGTCAAGATCCGCTACTGACTTTGCTATTGTGCATCGAGAAATGAAATATATAGAAAAGCAATAGCAGAATAGAGGTTTCTTCAGCATTTAAGTTCTACACAAACAAAACATTATTGCTTACACTTATCTGCTTCAAGTGACCAGAGAACGTAGACAAAGATTGTGATAAGGACTGCTCATCACCAATGTCAGCAAAAACAGAATCAAACCAAGGAATTTTCGCAGACTCCGAAGCAAGAACGTAGAGACCTGCAACATTACGGGCTCAGAACACAAAATTCAAAGATTTAAATAGAGTAAGCACCAAAACTATTTGATTCAAATCTATGGTTTCACTAGTTAATCCTACATAGCTTATTCATGAATAACAATGGCATGCTGAAAAGTATCGGGCACTTGGGAACCCACCTTCAAAATTAGGCACCTCACATAATACCCGGTTCCTATCATATCATAGCCCCTAAGAGCCCTTTTCCCTGTACAACTGATACCAATTAAAACGTATCAAACAATTGGGAACCCACCCTCAAAGCTAGGTAATTCAGGGGGGACAACCAAACACTTAAATATTCCACCAAGCAGCCCATACTACACAATATGGGACTTAGACACCCCATAAAACCCAAGTTCCTACCATATACTAAGCAATGAAATTAAAATTCAATTGTCAAGAATAAATTAGTATGAGCAGAGTTTGAAGAAAATCATTTCATCACTTCATTGATTCATAAGAGCAGAGATACATTATATAGAAAGGAAGAAAACAAAAATGGATAATAAGATATTCCCATAATTAACTAGGAATTCCAAAATTTCACAAATGAAATAAATGTAAAAGTTGACTATAATCCTTCAAATTACTAAAATATTGTGATTATCCTGAAATTTAAGGATTGATTTCTGATACTCCCCCTCAACCTAGGAAATAAACATTAGTCATTCCCACGTTGCCAATATTAGACTCAGCTATATTTCAATAAGGCCTTTGTTAGCATATGCTTCTTAATGCAATTGCAAAGTCGTGCCTTGCTTCACATCCAGAAACAGCCTCCATGCTTATGTAAGGGAAAGACGATGTACAATTAGACAGTGAATTAATTTCAAATTAGATAAAAAATCACATGATTCCCCCCCTTTCCTCTGTCTTCCAATTTGTTGGGGAAGATACACAGGATAATTTGTGTCCAGTATAAAGAAACCCAATCCATGTCAAGAAACCAATAAACACCAAGAGGCTTTAAATTAAATGAATTTCTACTAGACAAAATACAACAACGGTTTTGATAGACTGCTCGACACAGGCCATACTGTTGGATAAGATGATGATTCCGTAATGGCACTTCAGCATGGCAGGTCCATGATATGGACTATGAGCATAAGGAAAAAGAAAGAGAAAAGGGAAGATAATTAACGAGCAGCTAATGTGGCTGTTAGTTAGGAATGATTATAGGGAGAAGGTGAAGTAGGGTGATGATTGTGATGTATCTTCCCAGTTAGAATCTTTAGAGACTGGCAGAGGATTATTCCTTGTCTGAGGAGCATAATTCTGGTTTGTTCATATATGAGAGCTTAGGCTATTTTTTCATTTTCAGTACAAATCGTTTTATCATTCCTTCTACTATGCTGTATTAGTTTTATTAATACAACAGTTTTCTGGATAATGCTAATCATTCAGAAATAGGGAGGACAATGAACACACCTGATTTTGCCATCATAGCAGCCAATCCTACAGTCTTCAAACATATGGTTTTACCACCAGTATTAGGGCCAGTTATAACTATGACACGAGTTTTCTTAGATACCAAAAAATCAACTGGTACTGGCAGGGCATTGTCCAGAGCGGTATCCTGACTACCAGAAGTACTTTATCATGAGTGATCATCAAATGCATGATATGCATAGAAAAGAAAAACATTACAATTTTCAAACAGCTTATCAAATGTACAGAAAAATAAAATAAAATATGATATACTGTGGTTTCAGTGAAAGAACTCTAATGCAACTAACCCCAAGGTACATGCCTACTCTTTATGATATATTCTTTTTGTCCAATTTTTTCCTGATACTTTTCCATGGAAAGAAAATAAGAGGTAAAAGGAAGTAATTGATCAGTATAAGCAACAATCAGAAGGGCTTATTGTTTAAGCATCCCTTGATTGAAAAGGGCAGTACAGACAACATGGAAGCCTTTTCATCAAACATTTCCAACTCAAGAATAGAAACCGCTCTCCTGTCCATCCCCAAATAAAACGAAAAAAAGGGGGTATAAATTAATATAATGTTTTTCAACATAATGGAGTTTAAAGTACTTGGGGAATACTTTTTTCATGTATCACATCTTTAATCATCGCATGAATGGTATTAGTGTCTAGGAGTTGCATCATTATAATAGTAGGAAGGGAGCAGTCTTCCCTAAGTCCATCAGGAGTCTAATATGCAGAGCCTATGTGCTACTTTCTTTGGAACAAGAAAGACTTTGAAAGTTAAACTTTCTAGAATATTTTATCTATATCTCCTCCCACCCCAACCCCCCAATGAAACATTTGTCATCTGTGACTTAACTGAAGCAGCAAGATTGACATCCTTTTTGGTCTTCTGCAAATTCTCCCTATGCCTCTGCAGCAAAAGAGGATGATAAGCTTTTAGAAGATACAACTTCCATTCCCTTTTGGTCGGTACTGGTCCATAGGAATTTACATTCCTTGGTAAGAAGGCTTCTGCAGTAGAAGAGCCACTCCTATCTGGCAAAAATATATGAGGACTTGACCCTCCAAATGAAAGTCCATAAGTTGCACGAGCATTAATCTACAAAATAGGAACCACATTACTGACTATCTTTTGCACGGTAAGAAAGTTGCCAAATATAAAATGTTAACTGAGATCACCTACCAAAGCAAGTTCTTTATTTTGTAAATTGTAAGCAACTAAGTGGATAGCCATGGGGGCACTAAACCCCAAGTTTACAGTTACACCAATACTATTATAGTGGTTTATATTTTATTTTATATGGTGGCAAAAGATCATTTTAAGGGTAATCATTCGTATAGTAAATTCCATTTGACCTCATTTAATGCTAGATGCAATCAAAAGTGGACCAGACTAGACACAAATTTTGTTCAAATGCAATATATGTATTTACTTGTCAAATACTTAATATACTTGCTGAATTTAATTATGCTTATCAACTTAAGTGATTTTCTTAGGAACCAGGAATTTAAATAAGACAGAGAAAACAGACAGGAAATAGGAAATGGTAATTCACTTCTCTTTAAAAACATTAAAGGGTATTTACCACATCTAGTTGAACCAAACTGTTCAATATCTTTTCAATATCATCAAGGTCCAGCTGCATCTGCACACAAATAAGACATCATATGAGAAGAGAAGAGAAAAACATAACCATTAGTATCTTTATTAGATCACAACTGTAACCTTTTTGGTTAATGTCAAAAGCACATCTGTTTCAGCCTTTGTGACCAAACTTCTTGCTCGCTGCAACTCATCATTTAAAGAAACAGTAGAAAGTGGCTCTATAAAACTTCCAACCCCTGATCCGCTGCCAACAAATACTATCTTTAAGGAATGGAATGTATGCTACCTACTGGCTTTATTGACAAACATAATTTCATAAATAATAAGTGATCAAAGTTTTGTTGACAAATTTTATGCACCTGGACAATAATAGACCCTTAAAACTTGTATTCTGTCTAGAATCTACTCTTATGCACCACCTGCCATCAACATTGTTCACTTCCTGTTCGAATTATCACAAAATCAATACAGAAAGAAACAAGAATGACAAGACGAAATACATGAAGAGTCTAGTGAATCTTACTAGGATTGAATTTTCACTCCTCTCACTCCTGATTATGGTCTCTATTAGCTGTTTTACCTGAAGATATGAAACAAATAATTCTAATGGAACGTATGAAATGAACTCTTTTAAACTAAAATAACAATTTATATTGTATGTCTGACAATATAGTTAAACAGAAGAACAAGCTGCAAAGTCAGAACACAAGGCATAGAAGATTTATTAATCTACCATCTTAAACATTGAGTGGAAGAAATATTAATAATAGTAATAATAATAATGATGAGAAAAAGTGAATATATTTCCCTGATATAGAGCTGATACAAGAAGAAGGTATAAATAGGAATAGGAGAATAATTTTGTACACTAATCTGGCCCAGAAAACAGGAAAATAATTATTCATGCGGTAGCTAAAAAGAAGAAAAGACAGATTCCAATTACATCAAATCTATTATTAAGAGCATAAACTAGACCACATTAATTCTTATTGATTTCCATATTATCAAATCTCTAGATTCTGATTTCTTTCCTCAATTTTCAACAATATCATATCATCATTAATTCCAAATCTGAATTAAATCCAAATCAGAATTCAAAAATAATAATATTAATAATAAATACATAAATATAAAACGGGGATAATTACTAAACCCCCCAAGAAAACCTACTGATGGAAGTTAAAGAATATAGACAGGAGGCAATTTCAATAATTAAAAATTTAAAACAGTAAAATACAACTGGGGTTTCGCCCAATCCTTGGGTAGTTTGTTGTCAACAAATGCAACATCTTTTGTGACTGAGTTCTAATTTCAAGATATCCTCTGGAATACTCATTGAAGATGTGAATGTTAATGAGATAGCCCTGAATAAATCTTTCTATTGTCTAATTTTTTGTCAAACATTCAAATGTCATTTACTAGATTGGTTGCTAAGTCTCAATTATAAACTAATAAACTATATAGATCTTTGATGAAGCCAATATGTCCAGAATCAAGAGTAATATATATAGTAAAAATGAACAAGAGTTACCTTTCTCTCAATCACTTGCACTTGTTGGCGTGACTGTTTAAGGGCTGGACTCTATAAGAAGAACATATTTTTATGTTACACATTCTTTTGCAAAAAGAGAACAACGTAAGACTGACAATTAGCTGTAAGTCACAAAGAAAAGCGAGATGCATAGCTGAAGTATTCTCTTCATTGAATACTATGCACTAAAGAATGCTAAGAAAATTAAAGATACTATATGCCATCTCAAACCAATTAAAATGAGTGGCTAATCACTTTAATGAGATGTGAAACAAACCGCAGAGTCCTTAATAGAGCCATCTTCATCAACAGCTTGCTCTATCGCTTTAATTAAGGACCGATTGATGACAAATTCCATTATCTGCAGGCATGTTTAGGTGGGTAAAAAAGCTAGAAACTTAGTAACATTAATTATACGAAATGAAACATTCAAAATTTCCATTTACCAGATCCGTAAGAGGCATAAAACGACCATGCCAATCTTTGTCCTCCTTGATTGCAGCCTTGAGATCGCCCTGCAAGATCTCTGCACACTGCAGAAGAGAGACAATGGCTTGTGCCTCGTTGCCACTCACATGTATACTTCTCCGGGCATGTTGAACGGCAGTTTTGACCTACAGGGACCCTGATTAGCAACTTGGCAGAGAAACATGAATAACTGTTTTGTGTTTAATTGCAGATATTATTCAACCGATTTATACACACTGATTACTGACCAGCATAGCATCAAGGTGCCCCATGTGCAATCTGAGAGTGCCATGCTTGTGCATTTCAACGGCAGCATTGGTTTCCTCGAGAAGTGCAAGACTTTCTTCAAAAGTTTGATTCAGAGACCATAGCTGGTCCTGTCATATGAATATCCAACATGATAATTTGAAATAAGACATGTTTACATATCTAATGGAAAGTGAAATATAATTGAATTGGAAAAATTGGAATAAAATATAATAAAGTCAAATAAACTATTTCTTTTACACCAGGAATTAAACTTTTACACCGTGCTCACATTTTAAATTTAAATACGCCGTTGAGGTTAATTTAAACACACATTTCAAATGCATAAACATTTTTATCAAAATCTCTATACCAAATTTACATGTCATGTCGAGTCATTACAAATCACGATGTAATATCAGTTATCGTAATTTTAAGTAAATGTTCACACAATCAGTTCCATATTGAAGAACTGGTTATGCATCTCCATTATTGATTTTTAGTTGAAGTAATTTTAAGTTGCTTTTGTGTTTAATCAGAAATTTATATTGAGCTTTCGATTATCTTACTTCTTCCCTCTAAAATCAATTCTAATCAAAACCAATTTCATTCAAAATCAATCTCGCAAAAAGCTCACTAAGAATCCAGAAATTAAATGAACACTTGGTCTTAAACTCCAACCAATTAAACTTAATGTTATTTCATTCATTCCTTACATAAATTTCAATGGACTCAACCCAACCAACCAAACATAGGAGAAAAGGCTGAAAAGGGGACCTTGAGGGCTTGACGGCCCAAGGAAGTAGTGGCGAAGGAAGCGACTAAATCGCAAAGCTTGTCCCATTCGAGGACTCTGAGGCTGTCATGGTGAATAGAAGAAGACACCCTTTGCCTTAGCCTTAGCCTTAGCCTTTGCATATGTCTCTGCTTCCATCTGTTAATAGAGATAACTGGGAAAACAGGAATGGTTATGGTGAAAGATAGCATTTTTATGTTATGCGTTGTTCTTCTAACAACTGGGTTCTTACGATTGCACAGTAATGTTGCTGACACGAGGAGCAGTGGAAGCAACACCGCAATAGTAGGAGCAGGATTATTGATTACAAATATAATACTACCAACTAATATTAATTAATAGTTTTAAAAAGATAAATATGGTTTTGTTTATATGAAATACTTGTCCTATTATTTTCTTCTTATTCAGAAATATTTTGTTTTAAGTCTTTCAAAATAATTATAATAAATATTTAATGGCAATTACAAACAATCGTAACATATAAATCTCTGAGGACAAAAGTAAAATCCTTTTAAATAGATATTTAAAAAAAAAAAGATAAAAGGAGAAATTTTAATTTCTTCGTATAGGAAAAAAAGAAAAAGTAAATGCGACAAAAAATGACAAATAAGATTTTAGAGTAAAAAAATATAATTCTTGTGAAATGTACTTAGAATATACTTATAGAAAAAATATAGATTCTAATTTTATAGAATCAAATATTAATATGAATCAAATAAGGTTTTATTTATAGAATGAAATAAGACTATGGAAATATTACGATAAAAAACTATTTCTTAGATTATATATATGTATATTTTTAATATACTACATTACTGTATATTATCTCTACTACATTACAAGTTTTTCCTTTGATATTTTAATAGATTTTAAACAAATGGGCTACGTTTTCAAGCCCATATCTCTTAAGTGGGCTCAGACAAACCGAAGTCACTCCTTTTACAAATATTTTTTAAACGAAAAATTATATACCTATTTTTTAAAATATCTCGTTAATTTTTATTTTTTTCTCTTTTTATCACATTATAATTATTATTACTAAAAATTTACAATAATAAATAAAATGAGAGTTTATAATAACGAATAACATCAGACAAATCGGTTTAAATAACTATCGCTTCACATGTATACTGGGTTGAAAAATATTTAAAAAAAAATAAAATCATCCATCAAACACTCCTGAGTCAATAAAAAAAGAAGAGAATAGTAATAATAAGAAAGTTTCTTTATGAAAATTAGTTATAACATAGTGGTGCTCTTTATCTTGATTCTTAAAATCGGATTACTCGTTAAACCGATGAGCATATGAGTTTAAAATTCAAAAGTTCAATCAAAGTTTACCGGGAATTAAATCGGGGTAAACGAGATTTAATAAAATAATATATTATAATAATAATATATTGAACTTAAAAAATAAATCTATCATAATATAATGACAATTTCAATTTAATATAGATGTTATTTGAAAAAATATTATACAATAAGAATAATTCGTACAATACATAAAAAAAATAACATAAATAAACATATCATCAAACATTTGGAATACAAAACAATTAGAAAAAAAGATTATCCTTGTCCCTAATTTAAAAATAATTAGGAAACAAAACTACTGAAAACAATTAAAGGAGAAAATTGCACAATATCTTTATCTAATTTTAATTTTTATACATTTTATTTTATATTATTGCAAGGTATAGATATGAAATCTAAGAATAATTCACTGTAGATGTTATTGTATTTCTAAGAATGATTGTTGTGATAATAATAATAGACAATGATGACAATAAATGTACAACAGCTGAAAGGAAACAATGAAAGATAATAGGTGATTATGACGATCAAAATGGTAAAAACGAAGACTATAGTAAAAAAAAGAATATTATCCCTTGTCCAAAAAAAAACTTTCTCTCTTTGTGTATCTCTATGTTAAACTAAAGAAAAAAATATATAAAATAAAACAACATTAATCTCTTCACACGTTTGACCAGTTTATTATTTATCCAATTTTTAAGAAATTTCGGACCAATTATCGCATTGGTTCTCTGCCTAACCTGTTGAACCTGATTTTTCGGTCCGATCTTGATAGCGATGCTCTTTATAAATATTTTATCATAATATTTTAAATAGTAAATTTTATCTATTTAATATTAATTATGACTAAATAATTAGATGGTTAATCGTGTATTATTACCCTATTATACATAAAATATGTTGGTTATATAATAAATGTCAATGAAACATGAGAATATAGACAGCTACAATCATTATTATAAAACTTTTTTTTCTCTTTTAATAGATAATTTAGTTATTTTTTCATTTTTATAGGTGTTCGTGTGTGATTTAATTATCAAAATATATGTCAGAAGTTTAAATAAAAGCAAGTTGAATCCTTGATTTTTTTTATCTAGTTATATATAATTATTTTTGTAGTTTTTATATAATTTATAGTATCAATTTTTTTTATTATAAATCTTAGTAATATAAATTTGATAATGTATGACATATACATTTCGTAACGTTCTTAATTAATATTTTAATATACATATAACATTTTCAAAGATGGACGCAAAATATTTTTAAAAAGATCCATTAAATTCATTTAAAAACCAAAATGACTTATTTAACAACATATATATTTTTAAAAAATTAATAAAACAATTTTTGTACCGGCTTATCATTTTTAATATTTTTTTTATATTTTAAAATTTAATGGTTACGTTAAAAATGAAAATCTTAGCTGATAATACTTTTGAAAAACTATTTATTATTTCATAACAAATATTTCTTATAATGAATATATAAATATTATTCTTCTCTATAGTAACATATGGAAGGAACTTAATATTTCTCTCCGTAAATATATTTCTCTTCATTAGATTAAAATAAGAAAATAATAAAATATTCAGTAAGAAGAAATCTTTCACGAATAGATTCATTGGATAAATACGTAAAATTAAGAAACGTAGAGGAAAATAGAAATCATACCACGTTTTGCAGGATCATTTGGATAGGTGCTTCTTCACGATTTCATTGCTATAGAATTGGATTCCAGTTTTAAGATGATGTTGGTTGCACTTAGTTACTTCCTTCTGCAGACCTTGCTCTGAAGATAATCGAATCCCTGTGTTCTGGATGCTATCGAATGTTTTTAGGGAAGGGAATAAAGGTACTTGATGATGTTGATTTTAAGCATGGGCTAGGCATGCATAATTTTCTGACATTTTTTTTATATGTTTTTCTATGATTCAACAGTGTCTAAAATAAAACTCCAATATCTTTTTTCACACATACAAACAATATTCTCACACATAACACCACACACCAAATTCAACTCAATTCTTAATGGTTTCCAATGGAGATGAAGAATCAGGAAACCAAGTTCAACAACCTGAAACCTCAAAAAATTCATGTTCACCCTGTTTCAGGTATAACTCACCATTAGTTCAAGTGATCCTCATTGGTGTTGTCTGCTTTTGCTGCCCCGGCATGTTCAACGCCCTCTCAGGAATGGGTGGTGGAGGCCAACTGAACCACACTGCCTCCAACAACTCCCTCACTGCCCTCTACACCACTTTTTCCATATTTGGCATCCTTGGCGGCGCCATCTACAACATCCTTGGACCTCACCTGACCCTTCTCGCAGGTTGTTCCACCTACGTCCTCTACACATCCTCCTTACTCTACTACAACCATCACCACCACCAAGCCTTTACCATTCTCTCCGGTGCTCTCCTTGGTGTAGGAGCAGGTCTCTTATGGGCTGCACATGGAGCAATCATGACATCTTACCCTCCATCCAACAGAAAAGGTATTAGTTTGTTGATGACAGGAGAGAGTAGTTTATCCAACTTTATGGTTTGATAGGAGAGTAACTTTTGTATTTACTGCCTTAAAACGTGCGAATATCTACGCTTTAAATGCGCCAAAGGATAATCCCAACACTCTTTAAGAAGTTAATTAGATTACATAAGATCTATATATAAATCTATCTTACCAAAATGTTAGCCGATATCTTACTTAAGAAATAAAAGTAAAATGATTTTATTGGAAAATATAATGCAATGCGACTTGATTTCGAATGCAACTCTAACGATTCCATTTATTGATTTCTTAACTAATGTTCTGAAGATGTAGATTATCAAGACTGTTTGATTTATCATCTTTTAATCAGTAAATATGTGACCAATGAAAGGCACTTACATATCTATTTTCTGGAGCATCTTCAACATGGGTGGAGTAATTGGTGGCTTGATTCCTTTCATCTTGAACTACCATCGTAGTGAGGCTGCTTCTGTCAATGATGGTACCTACATAGGCTTCATGTGCTTTATGTCAGTGGGGACCGTCTTGTCGTTGGCCATCTTGCCAGCATCCAAGGTTGTACGTGATGATGGCAGTAGGTGCACCAGCGTGTTGTACTCCAATGTGTCCACCGAGTGCGTGGAGGTTCTCAAGTTGTTTTCCAATTGGAAGGTCCTTCTTATGATTCCCGCAGCTTGGTCCAGCAACTTCTTTTACCCTTACCAGTTCAATGATGTGAATGAGGCACTGTTTAATTTGAGGACTAGAGGGTTTAACAGTGTGTTCTACTGGGGGGCTCAGATGCTGGGTTCGGTTGGGATTGGATATGTGATGGATTTTAGCTTTGAGAGGAGAAGGGTGAGGGGGTTGGTGGGAGTTGTGGTGGTTGGTGTTCTTGGGACTGTAATTTGGGGTGGTGCACTTGCTAATCAGGTTAGGTACTCCTCCAATGATTTGCCTGAAAAGTTGGATTTTAAGTACCCAGGATTTGCTGGGCCTTTTGCCTTGTACTGTAGTTTTGGGATGCTAGATGCCATGCTCCAGAGCTTGGTCTATTGGGTTATTGGAGCCCTGGCTAATGATTCTGAGATCCTCAGCAGGTAAATTATTCAGACTAGTAGTCTGCAGGTACAGTAATAACGTAAAAACCATGAAATAGTACTGAGAGTTATGGAAATAAAGTTATTAATATTGTTTAATATAAGAGTATTTTAGTGTAATCCCTATACATATTTTACTCGTGTTAATCTCTGAACACATCTCCTGAACCGAACATTTACATATCCGATAATAAATGACATAGTACACTTAAGGTAAGCTTTTTAGAACTCATGGACTTAAATACACTCTAGGCGCTCGTTCATTGATTGTGTATCGTTAACATACACTATTTTAGTCAAATTATTAATCAATAGAAGATTCCAAGTAGAGGTTGTGCATGAGGTTACCGATTTAGTTGCTTAATTCTTCTATGTACCCTAGTTTATAGCACTTGGTGTTTTGAAAAACAGATGATGTTTTGAAAGACTTGTATATATATGATGCAGGTACAGTGGATTGTTCAAGGGAATACAAAGTGCGGGGGTTGCAGTTGCATGGCAAATAGATGAACACAATGTGTGTTTGATGACCCAGTTGATTGTGAATTGGGTGCTCACAACAATAAGCTATCCATTACTCTTTGTTTTGATCATGTTGGCTGTGAAAGATGAATAAGAGGCTGAGGAATCCTTCATGAATCGAGTTTGATGATATGACAATATCCTGTTGTGTGTCAGCTGGGAAAGTCAATGTCCTCTTCATCTTGTCCTGTAATTTCCCTCTGTTCAGTTTCAGCAGTTCAAGTCAATAAAGAGTGTGTTTCACTTGGGACAATTCACATAAAACAAGGATGAGATAATAAGTGTAATTTACTTTATTTTTTACAATAATAATTATTTAAAAATTATATCAATAATTAAAATATATAATAATAATACATTTATTAAATTCTTATACATATATCGTTATTTTTTTGTCTTATTACATATAGTCGTCAGTCTCTCGAGTATTTAAAAAGTCTTCAAATTAATATTTTAGTGTTAGTAAAATATATCAATTTAAATTGATGCATATTTAATATTTTAAATACTAACTACATAATTTCATTAACTTAAACAATTATTTAGGAGGGTAAATAACACTTCAGAAACTGAATTGATATTTTTTTTAACATTAATACCATTATTAAATTGAATATAAGTTTTTATTTAAATTTAATTCTTTTTGATAAAAAAAATTTAGAGATTAGAGACAAACAACAATAGGACAATTGATTTTATAATATATCAATGTAATTTTTTAAAATTCGAGTTAAATTTATTAAATTATACTGTATTAAATATATCTAATTCGAATTATATGACTAATGCTATTTTCATCTTGGAATTTCATTTTCCAAATTTTCCCTATATTAGGTGTAAAGACCAGACCCGTTCTCCAACGACAACACCAACAAAAGATTCTTTCTTCATCGATACTTCCCCTTTTTCCTCGCCAACACGGAGAACAAAATCCCCAATTCCTTTCCTTCAATTAGGGTTCAATCCAATTTCAATTCCCAAACCCTCCCATTCCTAATCCTCCACATCCCGAAACTTCATTTAACGGAGACCTCAAATCCGCCAAGGCGAGCCCTCGCAGCTCGCGATCTCCGACACCGAGCATGGGGAAATTCTCACCCTCTCGCCCTCGGTTCCTCGCCGCCGCAATCGCTGTCGTCGCTCTCTGCTTGATCTTCCGCGTATCAACGGCGGATCTCGAAGAACCCGGCACGCTCCGGCTGCCTTCCCAGAGGCTGTGCGGCAAAACGACGCCTTCGTCGTGTCCCGCGAAGTGCTTCCGCGCCGACCCGGTGTGCGGCGCCGACGGCGTGACCTACTGGTGCGGTTGCGCTGAGGCGGCGTGCGGCGGCGTGGAGGTTGCGAAATTGGGGTTCTGTGAAGTGGGGAATGGAGGATCGGCACCGATTCCTGGACAGGCTCTGCTTTTGGTGCACATTGTGTGGCTCATCGTGTTGGGGTTCTCCGTCTTGTTCGGTCTTTTTTAGTTTAATTGGGTTTGAGTATGTATCTACCATGATCAGAGAGGCTGTTATGGTTTTGGTTCTTTTCAATTCTTTGAGGTTTCTTTTGTAAATTGACCTCATGACTATTCTTGTATTGTATGTATGATTACTGCCATTGATGTTGCTATAATTATTGTTGTAATTCCATGACTTTCTTCATTGATGATGGTGTGGTTTGTTATGAATTTAATTGGAATGCACTTTCTATTTATAATTGTTTGTTGGGGTTTATGACCTTCATAGAAATTAATTTAAAAGTTATATTTAAAATTATTTTTTACTGTGTGCCTGTTTAAGAATCTTTAAAGGATCATGTCAAACTTAAACTGTTGTGTGTTGTGTTTTATGTTGTGTATTGCATGCATTTGTAGCTGTAGAAAGATGAGTTCAAATGGGAATGGATTCCCTTTATTCACACATGACTCGTAGTTAGATGAAGATATGACTATTCAATTTTGGATACATAAGGTTAGATTTTCTGAGATAAAATAAATCATCATCTTATCTTCATATAATGGTTCTGATTAAGGTTTTAAATTGTGGCTGTAGTTTCATAGCAATCCTTTACATTACAGCTGGTTGTATCTGCAGTTGAAGGAGTCAGAAAACCTTGACTTTAATTGCAGATGCAGTCAGTAAAAAAAAAAAAAAAACTTAATATTATGGTTACAATTGTGGATGTAGACTATTTTTGAAACCATGATTCTTATTTGAATGGAAGAAATAATACGGGAACTCAGGGCATCCTAATATGAGCTCAAATCTTCTTTTATCTCCAGCAATATTTTGTTTCTCTTTATTGATTGCTGTGGAATGACAATAATCAACAACTAAAATCTTGCAAGTACATGACAGAATGAAAACTGAGCTAGAGATAATCCATATTGGCGGAAAGACATGGACTGAAAATTTAACTTATCTTGTTTAGGAAGAATAAAAGGGAAATTGTGTCTCCTACATGCTTTCTTATGCTATCAACTACAAGCAGAAACTTAGCATTTTTAATTCGTTTCCTTAACAATGTTTAATGTACTTGAGTCATCATTGCCGCGAAATGAGCTAGCCAATCTGCACTTGATTTACTTATGAATTTTATATTTGTACTTGTTTAAATGAACCTGCCATCTGTGTAGCTCAGTTTGCCCTTTGCTTTTATAGTTCGTGGTAATAAAAATTGAGTTAATTGTGAATGAATATGTGGAGTGTGGACACGTCCTTTCAGCAACGAGGTCTTAAGCTGCAACCTCATATCTTCCCATCCCTTTTTGCATCCCGCGGTAATTATGAGGTCCTACCTGCAGAAGCAGCTTGCTGTAAAGAGAAAGTGGTTCGAAAGGAAGCTGGGATTTGGTCCTTGGATCTAGGTGGCGTATTGGGAAGGAATAGATGCCTCTACCTGCTTGGTGTCTTGTCCCTGTCCTTTGGGAGGCAATTGGGGATTTGAAGAGCACTCTTTTCATTTGAGAACTTGGCACGGCCTAGGAGATTCACTTAACGGACTAGTGTGGGGTTGCTGAAGACGAGATCAGGGAAGTAGAGTGGTCGGTCACATTGTTTGGAACACCACAAGCTGAATGAACTGCAACTGGGTATGGCCATAAGAAGGCAAAATGATTAAACAAGACAAATATGAGGAAGAAATTGCATAATGAATAAGCCATTGTATGCGAGAAAACAAAGGAAATTCGAATCATTCAGCTGAATGATATGGTTTCTGCTAGTGTAATAATGGTGGTAATGCCTCGGATAAAGAAATGAAGATTGTTTAGGTGCAAGTTCCACTGGTTCAAAACAAAAAACGGAAGAAACCAAATCTGATTAGACTTTATTGGAATTAGGCCTAAAATGAAAAGTATTCGAACTTATGTGATTTTAATTATTTGAAAGTGTAAAGCGATGCAAGGTAATTAAAGTAAGTTTGATTAGTTTCCTTCGTATTAAGTGTACAACTTTCATGTTGGAGATCTAATCTAAGTGAAGAAACAAAATTTAAGCTCTCAATAAATTTTATAGACTTAAATATTTTCCGTTTAGAGAGTAACAGTTCATATTTGTTATTAGAAGATATTCTCCCTTATGATGATATAGTTAGGGTTATGTTAGAGGTATTGTTTATTTTGAAATTTTTATATTTTATAATTTTATTTTTAAAAATATTTGGATAGATTAAGAAAAAAATAATATATATAAATTATTATTATTTCTGATATAAGAATTACGAGTACGGAAAGAAATATATTTTTAACTCTAGGTAGTAAGTTTTGATTTTTTTTTTATCGTTATAAATTTAGCATCAGTAACATATTTTGATTTTAATCTTTAATATTTTTTTACGATTGATGAATAATATTTATTTTATAGTTTTTAAGAATTGCTTTTTATGTGACAATTACCATTTTATTTTATTTTTAAACACCAATATGCATCACTTTGAATAATCATTTAAATTTTTATTTAATAAATGAATAGTTAATTAGTGTCACGTAAATACAAAAGATAAAAAACTCACTTAACTACTTTAGTTTTAAATATTAATAAAGATAATTTTTAAGTAACAATGCAAATTATTAAATCCTTTTAGTTTGTAATGTCTAAACTAACAGAAAGTACAAGATA